ATAAATCAATAAATGAATAGGTAGATAGATGAATAAAGAAAACGGAACCTGTTTTATTTTTTCTCGTGAAGCTGACATTTATCAGTTCATATCGTGCATGTGGATGTGATGTGGTATAGAGGCTCGTTCACTTGACTCTCAATCCAAGAGCTGAGGGTCCGAATCCCAGCCAGATACTAAGTTACGTCCTTGTGGCAAGACAGTAAACCGCATTTGCCACTCTCCACCCAGGTGTTAACGGGTACCTGATCATTGTTGGGGGTATATACTAACAATTTCAGGGCCCTAAAGAAGAACACCTTAATGGGGGTTTCGTTGTTTTTATTTGTTTTTTTGTTTTTTTGTTTTTTCTGGGACGCATGCAATGGGTGGATAATGCAGGCTCTCATATCTCTACTCTATGAAAAAGCCTTCTCGGTTTTAATTCATGTGTGAACTGGACCGTTGCAAACATATTAAATGAAGGATCTTGGAAACAAGGAATAAAGTCAAATCGGCTAATTTCAAATCAACTTTCCTCACAATGCCCTCTTTTGTCATACATACTCTTTGACTCCAGTATGATATACTGAGCGATAACATTAATAGTCATTTTTTTAGACTACTTCTGGGAAACCTAGAAATAGTTGAAGTTAGTGATTTGAAGTCAACTTTTTAGTAGCAAAAGTTTACTATACGAATTAAACTGTATTGCATATTTGATCTGCCACTCTAAAAGCATATAATATCTTTTTTTTCCGGTTGGCAGTGACGAAAGGAATGATATTGTTTCTTGGAACTATCATTTTAGGTCAACCCGTGTTAAACAAACCCAATATTTTTACCTATTATTTTGAACCCTGCCGGCCCTTCAGATGGACCCAAATTTAGTATAAGGTAAGAGATGCTTCTAAAGCTACAAATTTAACCAACCAACTCGTTTACTATTTATGTTACCTAAAAATATTTATGACAAAAACAAGATTCATCAAAGCAAACAAACAACAACAAATGTAATGTATTGTTGTTTCCAATATAGTTTATTGATGATGGTGATGGTCCTTGGTGTAGTCAGGAATGTATGAATGGAACTTTCGAGGAGATAATTCGAAGTCTATAGCATTTGATATGCAAGGACTTTTCCACGTGCCTTCAATAGTACAAGATTATACAGAGGGTATGGTTTACATACAGTAACCCCGGGAAGACCCACGCTTTGATGTTTTTTTCTTTTTCTGGCACTGCAAACGTATACAGTGCGTATCAACAAAAAAGTATACCCAACTTTAGTAGCTTATAATTTTAAAAAGTCATCTATAGTGTGACCGTGAAACCTATTTCACGGTGAAGAGTAACTTTTTTTCTGTCTATTTCATTTGATTTATTTTATATTTCAGTTCTGAATACATATCAAAATCAGTGTACATTAAAAAATAATATACATGAAGAAATATGAATTTATTTTAAACAGAAATGGCCAGGGCTCCAGCTTGATGCCCTGTGAGCCAAGCAAAATACATAATTTGACATTACGGACCGTTCTTCTGGGAGAAGGGAAGGGTACGAAGAGGGAGAGAGGGAGAGAGAGAAGGAGAGAGATAGAGAGAGAGAGAGAGAGAGAGAGAGAGAGAGAGAGAGAGAGGGTGGGAATGGGGGGGGGGGGAGGGTAATTCATATATTTCTGCCACGGATGACTGAGCATCAGGTTTTTTTTTAATGCCGTAAAATTCTCCTTGTATACCAAATTTTTGTTGGTGCACCAAATGTGGTTAAGGCCAAATACATTCGTTAGGCCTACTTTGGTCTCTAATCCTTCTAAAAGTTAAATCCTGCTTTACGATTCATTACTTCATTGTTCACAGGACTTTGTTTCAATCCACATGAAACCTTGAATTAGTTAACTTCTTGTCTCTTGATATCTAAAATCTCACTTCTCACTTGTCCATTGCACCATTTCACGTGAAAAGCGCAGAAGGTACTTGTCTTGAACAGCACATGAAAATTTGGAGGTTTAAACCTCAAAGATCAAGTTGATGTAAGGAAGAAAGTCACAATGATATTTACCAAAGATACTGACAATAGACTTTTATAAAGTCTATCCGGTTTATGTTTTTTGTGCGTTCCCTACGAGCTTTTCAGCAGTCCCCTCCATGACCAACCTGTTTTATATGCATGTTGTACACTGTGGATCAATTACAAATATATTGCTAAGTTTCATTGTTTTACTATATGTACAATGCAATCCCATGTACTTTATTTTATTATGTTAGAAATGGAAATAAACGAAATGAAAAATGAAATGGAAATTTAGGTATCTGCGCAAGTAAACTTTTTTCCATGTTGAATATGCCTCAAACAATGACAAAGCTCACTTTTAATAGGAATGCAGGAGATGCCAAGCTCGTGTCATCACAACAAAGGGTATATAATTATCATCATGAATTTTGCTTATAAATGTGCCTTTTCTCAAGTTTGAGGTGTATTTATTACTTTTTCTATTCTAATGCACAGAATCAATGCAAATTATTTTCGGACTGAAATAAAAATATGTAAAGACTTTTGACCAATGTTAATTGATTCAGCCCATACTTGATATCGAAGGATTTTGACAATACCTTTTGAAAAGGCTGCTGCTCATTCATCTGTGGCAGCAGAGTTATGAATAAGATATCATTATACACGATATTAGTCAAGGTCACGCAAGTTATAACTTTTAAATGGGAATCTGCCAAAGTTGGGTATATTTTTGTTCATTTAAACGAACTGCATTGGCCGGACCGGGGTGTGGTCACCCGCTCCATCATAATGCTAGTGGTGGTAGTGTTGGTGATGGTGGTGATTATAGTGGTGGTGATATGGTGATGGTGACGGTGTTTATGGTGGTCATGATGATGAAGGTGGTGGTGGTGGTTGTGGTGGAAATGGTGACGGTTGGAGTGGTGGTGAGGTGATGAAAATAGTAGTGGCAGTCGTAGTGTTGATGGTGATAATGATGGTGATAGTGTTGGTTAAAGTCATGATTGTATAGTGATAATGTTGGTGATTGTGATGATGGTGATAATTATGATGGTGATGGTGATAATAAAAAAGGGTGGTGGTGATGGTGATAATAATGGTGTTAGTGCTGGTATTGGTAACATGTTGATTCATGTATGAGAGAATAATGCTAACGTTAAAACTGTGTTTTAGGACCAGGCTATGGTTAGGGTCAGATACAGCAGTGGACACGTAGGAATTCGATGCGCATATTACCGCGCATGGTGCCACGGAGGAGAAGCAGAATGTGGTATCGAGGAGTGTGATAGTCTAGATGGCGCTCTTGAATCTATGCATAGAGATCGTGATAAATTTACGCCAGTCGTATGTACTTATCTCGTTGGTTCTTACATATCAAGAGATAATAAGGAACATAATTATGTTATGGTGAAAGGAAAAGGGGGCACTTATCCAAAGGGAGAAGAACACTTATTAGAAATGAAAAGGAGCACTTGTCAAAGTATAAAAAGAAATTATCAAAGTGAAAATAGGGCTCTTTTCGCCCCTGATAAGGGCATTCACCAGAGATGAAAAAGGCACTGGTGAGAACGAGGAAAGGGGCTCTTATCACATAGAAGGAATAGGGGTAATCATCAGAAGGAAAATGGCGCTTATTGGAAAGTCAGATTTGAAACTGGGCACTCATCACCGATGAAAAAGGACACTTATCAGGAGGGGGAAGGGGCACTTATTATAAAGGAAAATGGCACTCTTTAAAGTAAAAGGGGCACCTCTCAGATTTGGTAATATTAAGGGGCACTTAAAGGTACTATGTCCCATTTGCAGACCAATTTTTTTTTTTAAAAGGTTAAATTCCAATGGCATTTGAAAGATAAAACTAATTTAGGAATTCCCTAAACAAAGGGGGTGGGGGCTTGAAATAAACGACTATTAGTTGTCGAATCGACTTAAGAGCTATAGAGCCAGTAAATAATAGTCTGATTTTCAGACCATTGTACCGAATGGTTGTACGTTTTGTGCTGCGCAAAGATTCAATCACTTTAATTTCGGCCATTATGTACCATGTACAGCTCATTTTATGGATGTTATTACCAAAGAAGAAAAAAGCCAGTCAGTCACGCAATAGTGTCTGACAGTGAAGTTTAGCAAGTATAAACAGGTTTCCTCGGATAATTTGAATATTAGGACACTAATGTTTAAATTTCACAGATACGTGAACTTTATTCCTGCAAAGTTCTACAGAACTTGATGTTGGCTGCAAAAGGGATAAGAATTAAGAACGGGCACCTATTTAGAAATAAAACTGGGCACTTTTCCTATGTAAAGACACTTTAGGGGTACTTTAAAAAGTGTGTGTGTGGGGGGGGGGGGGGGGGGCATTGTGTCCCCGGGTCCGCCGCCTCTGAACATAGGACATATTTTGCTTGTTTTTAACTATGACCGATGTTTGCATTTAAATGCTCAAGGATCATTTTCGTACCAGTTACCTCTCAATCAGGCTTAATTCAGTGTGATCATTGTATAAAAACAAGGTCATTCAACTTTCTATGAGTCTTTCTGGTTGACTGCTAATCGTCAGGCAGATTCATGTTGGGCTTCTGCTGATATGGACTCGGGGGGGGGGGGGGGTGTCCGGACATTCTTAATAATATAAAGCCTTCTCTTTTGTATTCAATTTTAACGAAAAATATTCATCAAAAAGCACTAACCATGATGAATATTTGTCCTTTATAATATTGTCCAATATAAATAAGATTAATGAAATTGCTTGTAAACTTCTTCTTATGCGGACACACAACGTCTGTGTATAATGAAACTAAACATTTCCCTATGCAAACAAACCCCAGAGATTAATTAAGATTACATATCAAGAAAGTGTGATATCTCCTTATTGTTCTTTGTTGATGAGTGCAACCCATTGTAGATCAGATCGATGGTGCTACGACATCCATTTCAATCCCCATGACCTCCTATATCCTCCGCCTCGTCTCCTGACGGCCAGTTAGAACAGGAGTTGGACGGTTTATCTGAAGCGGTTATAAAATAAGGTTAACAACCTTTTCACTGCGTGAATTTGATTCTCCAAAATGGCTCTCACTGCTTTGACACGGTGTCTCTCCTCTCAACTGAGACCGACTCTTCGACTTCGTGTATTGGAAAAGTGTCGATCTCTGTCTAAACCTTTGCATTCAACATTCACATTTTCAAGACCGGTGACAATAAGTGCTGCCTTAAATAGCGGTGAGAAAAATGCAACATTTTCATGTACAATTTGCTTGTTGTGGTTCAGCGTGTGCCCATGCGTTGAATTCTGCGTAGGCCTCATGAAGAAAAAAAAAATGGCTGCATGCGCTGCTTCATCAGTGAGAGTGGCCAGTGAGCTGAGTGGGTGTGTCTCGATCTCGGATTGCTAGCTTTGGGTCTTTTGTGAAATAATTGTCGTCTGCTAAAATAATACCTTGGTCAGTAGTGTACATTTTCATGAACGAATTTCCCTTCATTGATAATCTTGATCTATGTAGGTCTAGATCTATTAGTTTTTAAATAGGTCTAGACCTAGACCCTATTCTATTTCTTTTTATTCACGATTTACAATTAAATATGGGCATGGCCATGGCATGGGTCTAATTAAGCACAGACTCTGAGACTGCTGTCTTCGCTGCCTATGGATGGTAGATGGATATAGATTAATTAATATCCATGTTACTTGTTAGGGGTTCAAACTTTGAGAGATTGCATTGTGATGCGATGTGTGCTATTATTAAAGGATTTTATATTTATACTAATAATTAATATCGATATCATGTACTGAAAACAAAATGTTGAATAAAGTGAATGATAGAATTAGAAGATGATAATTGAATGACAAAGAAATAAATATAACTTTTCCTAATCTCCTCAAACAATACAAGTATAGACATGATGAGAAATGTAACTTGCATTGTGATACAGAAAGCAAATTCTGTCCCTTTTTTCTGAATAATCTAAAAAATCTAAATCTAATTAAATTTAAAAAATCAATTTCTTGATCTTCTAATTCTATCATTAGAAGATCAAGAAATATATTTTAAAAATGTACATACAGTTTTTATTTGCTCATATTATTCAGAAAGAATAATATAATATTTCACATTGTAAGTTACATTTCTCATGTCTATACTCCTTTTGAGGAGATTAGGAAAAGTTATGTTTAATTCTTTGTCAGTCAATTTAACCAGAACTTATCTTTCCCTGCATAAGAATAGTTTGATTGTTGTACTGCACAAAGGAGATACACATTGAGCAAAACTGCTCTTGAAGAAGTCAACCTGCCTACATAGTACATTGTCAGAGAGTTACCCGGTAGACAAAATCTGAAGCAATGAGAATCTTGTATGTATGCATTTCCCTTTCAGATAAAAAGTTCAGCAAAGACCATGAATGGATCACAACAGAAGGAGGGAATGGAACAGTAGGAATCACACAATATGCACAGGTAATGTGACCTGAGCGGGCTGAAGTAGAGAAAAGAGGGATGAAGGGTGAGGAAAAGAGTACTGTCAGGGGAGATACATTATAATCCAAGATTATTATGGACCAATATTATTAATTTAAAAGTCATGAAAAGGCACCAAATATCAACAAACATCTTCACAACAACTCCAAAAGACAAAATAATCCCAGCTATGCATTTTTTTAAAGGCATTTGATAGCCAAAAACTTGACAAAATTTGGCATTAAAAAAAAAAAAAAAAAAAAAAGATTTTTTTTATCTGATCATTTTTGTTGATCAGTGATCAGAAATTATTATCCAATCTCACCTGATCGGCTCAAGATCAGCCCCCGATCCGATGGCGGTTTACAGGCCTAAATGTGGCCTGAGCGGGCTGAAGTAGAGACAAAAGGGATGAAGGGTTAGGAAAAGAGCACTAGGTCAGGGGAGATACTGTGTACCTTGTAGAGATAATCCCATCAGAGACTCACTGAGAACTACAAGAGCTACATCCAGATGAGTGATGATTGGGGATGCATCAAGTGAATAAGAGAAAACCTAGGATGTACATTTACAATGAGTAGAGTTAGGTTAAAAATAAATTAATATTTTGAGGTTAAAAGCCAGTGGGGAATCAACACTGCTTTATAGCAGTTGCTATTTTCATAACAGGATGCTTCTAAATCCTGTTTGATGATTTCAGGTATTTCTGATGTGAGTCAATGATTTTGAGGATAAGATTATTAGCTCTCCGTAGCCTTAAAGATAAGCTCAAGTTGTTGCAATGATAGAACATAAATTCTTTCAGAATCCAACAAAACTCTCACTGAATGTTCAAGATTACACATAAATGATATATATGCCAAACAATTTGGTAGAAAAAGTATAGGGGCTGAGTAATGAGCATAGAAAGAAAAGGGTAAGTAGGCTTGACACCATGTGCTTAACACAGGTAACTATTTGCTAATGGTAGTTGTGTTTTTTATCAAAGATGATGCCCAGTAAGTTTGTGTGTGTTTGTTTTTATTATTGGTTCAAACAATCAATCTGCTACAGGATAAACAATCCAGAATAAATAAAAAGATACAATTTTCATACCAGAGCTCAAGATTAGCTTTAATAGGCTTGGCCAAATTTTGTTTGTGTGTACACTGCATGATATCAGTAAATCATTGTCATTCTTTCTTACAGGAAAAACTTGGTGATATTGTGTATGTGCAGTTGCCAGAAATTGGAGACAGTTTAGAACAAGATGGTGAGTATAATTCAGATAGAATTCATTGTTTTCAAGAATAGCTTTTTATGATAGAATATCATCAATATCATGTATTATGATAAGTTAAGAATTTTTTTTGAATATGCCAACTCATTTCCCTTTCCGTCAATGTCTTTTCATGAAGTTCATACGTTCTGCGTTTAGATCCTTTTGGTTATACCTTTGATCTGTAAATGTAATGTAAAATTAGTCATCTATGGCATCATGAAAATTTGTTTTTATTATATGAAAGAAGTGGGCATGTGTTGTTCTGTTATTTCCAGCATGAAATTTCAGCACATTCGAACCACTCCAGAAATTTGCCAAAGTTTCCTGCATATGAAATTATCTGTTTTCACATTACTAATATACCTTTTAGACTTGTTGAATGAATGTAGTCTTGTTGTTTTTGTATCCTCAGGTGATTTTGGAGCTTTAGAGAGTGTGAAGGCAGCGAGTGATCTCTTCTCTCCTGTTACTGGTGATGTCATAGAGATCAATTCAATACTAGAATCTACGCCATCCTTGGTCAATCAGGATCCATTTGGAGAAGGTGAGAATCTTAGAAAAACGCTATGATTTGAGAAATGTTTGCCACTGTAATGTCGTCCTAAAATGTTGGATGCTGTAACATTGATACAGGTTAACAAATATTTTGTTCTCTGTGTAACAGACACAGTGCAGTACTTTGTACTGTTATGTCATGTGAATAATAAGGATGTCAGATTTATTCACACTGAATTTGTTATAAATCATAAGTCATAAATTATTTAAAATATTGCCAACCTAACAGAGCTGCATATAATTATGAAGTCATACATGGGCTAGATGTCTGGTAAATTCTTGACAGGTTTTGATGAAAATGTCACACTTTCATTACCAAAATCTTATAGAGTTGGTTATCAATATGCTCTCCGTATTTCCAGCTTTGTTTGAAATTGATTGTCAATGTTTCTCTCTTAGCCCTCCACACCCTGTAAGATTCTGATGTGATCAAATTTTTGAAGAAATCTGAAAATCTCAATAGCAAGAAATATGTAAAACTACATATGTGAAGCCTTCCAAAATTGTGATTTTGTATACCGGTAGTCATATTGACAGTTTTTATACTAAAATAAAAATTTGTTGGGCGTTTTAAGTCTTCCTACATATCACTTTTTTGTTGTTTCTCATTTGATCGCCATCATGAACTGTTCTATGAATTTCAAACATTAATGATCAGCTTGAAATGAGGAACAGTGATGAGTCTGATATCGCCTTGACTTGGTCTGAAAAACCTGCAGTACCTAACATGCAAATTATCTTTGTTACTTTTTTCATTAGGTATCTCATTCTGGAAGAATAAACATGTTCCAATTTTCATACTTTTTGCTCTTATGATTTATTTTAAAAGCAAATATTATTGAGATTGTACAAAATGTGATTGACTCGATTGTTTTCTTCTTTCAGGTTGGATAATTAAGATAAAGCTGAGCAACCCATCAGAGATTGATGATCTCATGACTGAGGAACAATACAACAAGTTTGTCGAAGATTTGGATGAATGATCATGAATCAGTTACAGTGCTCCCCAAATGACCTGTATCTCTGTGAACTTTGACCTCAGGAATTTCATGACATACGTCCCGAGGAGGGTGCACCACTGAGTCATTATAATTCAGTATTCTTTCTAATTACAAATTACAATTAAGCTGATTGTGAATGAGATCGAAGGAAGAATGAAAGAATGGAATACAGTTTAGCCCTAGCTAGCTTAGCAAATGCAGTGGCATGTAAACATGCATTCAGAATGTACGAGGCATGATTGTTGGTGATATGAGTGTATTGAGAAATGTACCTTGATCTGCATGTCTATGATTAGCAGCATTGATAATATTAAAGATATAGGTGAGTTCTGGTCATCCGATTGCATTGTGAAAGAAAAGGTGTGGAATGGATCAGAAAAAGTTGATCATGTAGCATGTAAGTTTTGGTGTGTACTGCAAAGTTCTGGAGTCATCAAAATCATAATAAATTTGGCCCAGTCTTGGTAAAGTAACAAGCACTGTACGCAGAAAGGTGTATATGGGACTACACAAATGGTGTCGGGGCTACTAACCTTGATTTCCTAATCTTTCTATGCTCATTACTCAGCCATTATACATTTTCTACCAAAATTGTTTGGCAAATAATATTTATTTGTAATCTTGAACATTCAGTGTAATTTTTGTTTGATTCTGTGAGAATCAATTTTTTTTTTTTTACCAGAACTCACCTTTATCATTAAGCGTTATCCAGATAGCACAGGTATTTCTTAGCTCCAGGGCCACATGATATGGCTCCACCTTATGCAATTAAATCATGATTTTCAACAATTATGCATTTTACATTCTGGGCTTTTCTTTACGTACCACTACCTTTCGCTTATACTTATCCACCTTGTGTTGCAAAAAGAAGAAAGATATAATTTGATATAGGTGAGTGCCTTTGTCGTCATATTTTCTGGCTCTCAGCTATTCCCTTCACTGTAAGCAACTTTTCTGTCTTCTGGTGTTGGTTTATTAATTTTTTTTTAGAGGTAGTATATTCCAAATATGTAGTTTAATAAACAGTAATTTTGTTTTGCAAATTCTTTTAGTTGTCAGAATATACAGGTGTAGTTTATAGAAGGCATGAACCAATAATGGTCTTGTCCTTACAACTTGCATTTTTATCCTTTCCAATGAAAATGTTTGGGATTTATTTCCACTGTCAGAAATACCGGTAGGTTGATTTTATCAATGAGAGATAACAAAAGAAGCTCATATGTTACACCAGCAGTTACGGCTGGCCAAGCAATAGCAAATGCTGATAAAATCAGTGATTTATGCTTCTTTACATGCTTCTTTACATTATTAATTTGATTTAGATCACTGATTTAAATTGAGATTCAAACAAAAAATGATAAAATGGCCAATCCTACCAATTTGATTTATTGTATACTTTGAAACTAGCACAGAGAGATTGTCAGATAATGATCAATAGTCAAAATTTCATGAGATTGAATATGTGATGAATGATGCTTCAATGAGTTTTAGTGTGCTTTAGGAGATCATTTTCAAAGTGTTTCTCTTCTTTATATCTTTCTATTGTTCATATTTACAATTTCCTTGATTGTCACACTTCAAAGAAGTAACAAAATAATAGCTTTACATGTAGGTGTAGAGTTTGATTTCTTGCAAAAATTATCAAATTTACTTCATTCATGGCATATCGCTCCCGTATCAAATGCAACCTGCGCACCGTGTGAAAGTTTAGTTTGTGTTTATATGGCAAATACCTTTCACATTTAAAATTTGTACGTAATCATTTCAAGGGAGATATTGACCGTATGAAACATGGGTGGTATTGATTCTGTAGGTGGGAAGTTGTTCTTTTAAATCATACCATTACATGTACTACCTACTTTTATTTGACAGGGTCTAGACCAGAAGTGGCAAGGGTAATAAATATATCCATCTTTGTTGGTAATTGCTAAGTTAAAGGGTACATGTGTGTGTGTAGACAAACCAAGTTTTATTTCATCAGTATAGAAATAAAACTTACACACTGTATGATTTATCATAGTAAAAGTGGTACCCAAGAAAGTTATTCTAATTTCATGCTAGATCAAGAGATTGAATTGATATCACTTTTTGAGATGGTGTAGGATGTGTTTATGCCTGACATAGCATCAGCTCTTTGATGTCAACTGGAATCCCACCATGAGGATCATACAGAATGGGTGGATAAGATACCGTCCATAAACAGTCCATGAATATGAATAGAATTAGTAATATGTCTATCATCTTTAGGCATTATTCCCTACGATGTGATATTTTTGAGTTCTAACTCATGTTACAATCTAGTTATTGTGTTGGCATTATTTTCATTTGCATAGTCCTTCCTTTTGTCCTTGTGAAGAAAAAAAAATGTATTGTTGTGTGTACATGTAAAATGTTATGTGCATCTTTGAAATGGACTGCCATGGATGATAAATCATCATTACCATATACCATTTATAAAGGCATAGTATGATTATGCTGATTGTAGCAAAACATATTTAAAGACGTCTATGATAATGATTGTGCAGAATATCGCATAGAATATTTGTACGAAATCATGAAACCGATGGCTGATCAGTACGTTCATGTTTCAGCTTATCTGTATGCAGTTGACTGGATGAATAAATTCCATGTAACTTTGATATACAATAATGGCTGTGGATTTTGTATGGAAGCCTCATTTATCTCAACATTTGACAGGGAAACACCACATTTTGCTCCCTTTCATGACAAGGGGTTTATTTTTTTTCTTCAAATAAAGAGGAAAGAAAAGATGTGGGGAAATATATGTGGAGGGATAGGAATCTCTATAGAGATTACGAGTTTCTAAAAGGATAGAAATGGGAGAGAGGGGGAAGAGATTTAAAGTGACTCGGTAACATTGTTGAAGGTTGATGAAAAAAAATTGCTTAATTTTTGTATAAAATGTTACTTACTATATTCCTTCTACTATACTAACCCTCTGACATGCAAAAAATCCTGAACAAATTCTCAAACCACAAAGATATCTATGGTTTTCTTTGAAGGCGTCGATGTGAGGCACCCTCTAACAGTGATTAACAGTAAATTCTCCCAACCATTTTTGAATGTTCCCAACCGTTTTTTCCATGAGAAAAATACATAAAACAGGCTATAAAAATCTGTCAACACTTCAATGTCTGGAATGGAATGTAGAGCCATTTTATTGCTTTGCGACGATTTACATTCATCTAAAATGTAATTAAATTGTCCTTGTCTTGAGGCTGAATAGGCTTTGACAAGTAGCAGAATAGAAGTAGAATAATATAGTTAGGAGAATTAAGGAATCGATCAGATCAGTTTTTCCCAAATGGTACCATGAATAATGATCTGTTTTCACTCAAATTTTCAGATTATCTTTAATTGTACATCTAGCATTGAAGTCACTATCTTAGCACCACTATCTCTCATCTGAACAATGTTACAAAGTCCCTTTAAGAAAGGGAAGGACCCTACTGCAGGCTTTATGTGGCTCTGCATTGGACTACCCTGCTTTTAAAAGAAAACATGAATACATGTAAAGAAGTAAACCGGGAGGGGAAGAAAGACAATGAGATTTTCATTTTGGAATAGGGACAAGAGAGATGGGAAGATGGTAATGGGAGAGAGAAGAGAAACAAGAGGTTGAGAAAGACAGCAATGGAGAATGAGAGGGGAAGAGAGAGAGAGAGAGAGAGAGAGAGGGAGCGAGAGGGAGGGTAGAAAGAGAAATCAGTCGTACTAGATCATGTTGAGTGATTTTGAAGTTGTACTTGTAACACAACATTACAGCATTTAAAGAGAGATAGTAACCACAGTGCCTTTTTATCTATCAAAGCATAGAGAGAGAGAGTGAAAATTGATGAAGCATGCTCACTGATGAAATTCAGTGTGCATTAAGATATCAGAGTGAAAATATAGTTCATTTGCGCTGGATACAATAAACACCAACTATTCATAGTGTGAATATCCAAGGAAGTAGAATACTACAGGAAACAAAAGACAACAGTTTTGTTTTTGTACACGCTTATAAGCAGGATTTTATTCACATCGATACACAAAGATCTATATGTTTTTCAAAGCAACAACCTGTACAAATTTGCTATAATTCAATATTTTTACAAATATTTACACAGAATAAATGTGTACAAAGTGAATGTGTACAACTAATTTAACTTGAATACACAGTCATTGTATATACCTATGCAGCTTCCCAAACAATAATTTCTCTGTTCTTTTGATACCCTCAGACTCCTCTGTAACAGTCTTGTATAATGAACCCAGGTTTGGTGTCCTTACTCTCTCCTTACAGGCTCCAAAACAATTCTTACGATAAAATGTTAAAAAGGTTACTTTCTCTAGGTAGAGTATTTTGATAAGTTACTATGATAAATTTGCCAATAAATGATTCAACCTATCGATACCAAACAAATCTGCCAACTCATGAAACATGAAAGGCCAACCATATCCTCCTTCCACTTAAAAAATATCAAAAAGTAAATAAATATGAATGAGAAATATAAATAATCATATCCCTGGGCTTCCCATGGAAACTGGCCTTTCAGAGCATAGAAAAGTTATATGTTTCTGGACGGAAATAAATTCAATACAATACAACACAAACATCCTGCTCCATGCCATCCATTACTTTCTGATGATATTACCTGAATCTGTGTAAGTCTAGCTCACACTGATATCATTTGTTTATGAGGGACTTTTTTTTCTTCCAAACATGAACAATCAAGACAAGGAGAAGACACAGTATGGAGAAATAATGCATAAATATTGTGCTGACTGATGCTGGGGATACGACTTACTTGCTTTGGTATCTACGTGTTACAAAACCTCTTTACAAACTATTTTGTGTAACTGTGGTGCTGCCATTAAACTTTTCAAAGCAGTACGATAGTGTTCTAATGGCAGAACTGCAATGGATATTCAAAGGAGTAATTATGAGTCTATATGATCAATATTCCAAAAATGTTCCTGGAAATGTGAGTGACCATGGAAATGACCGTTGATTGATTAACGTGAAGATTATGTAGGAGCAGCCACTAATCCTGCTGCTCCCTGCCCAAGCTGCTGTCCTCCTATTGTGCTCTCAAGGGGCTTGAACCCTAGTTCTTCAGTTGGAACGCCAAACGCCTGCAGCTTGGCCTCGTATGTACGTAGTAGGTCGTTGTGTGCCTGTACGGTAGATGAAAACAGAAAGAGATGTACTGATTGTGAGTAAATAAGCAGAGTATTTACATGATGGCATGTTTAAGATTAAGTAAGTGGAGAGTTAAAGAAGCAAAAATTATGTTCTACAGTATGAAAATAAACTACATAAGTTTAAATAACAAGCTATTTAACTTTCATGAAGTTTATTATACTTTTAAAAGAAATGCTCACGATGATGACGGTATGTGTCAAAATCTGTTTACCGGTAATAAAAAATTTAAAAAATACCAAAATCTAATAGAAATAAAAAATCTCAATAAAATTCAGTAATGACAACAACTCGTCATACCATTGATGGTAACTTTGTCATCAATGGTAACTACCATATAAACCTTGATTTTGATTGGCTGTTGAGCCCTGTTACCACGGTAGTTGCCAATGATGGCAAAGTTACCATCAATGGTAAGTTTTATGCAACAGGCCCAGTTCTTTATTCCTCAAGGTCATTAGTCTTACCTTGCAGACTCGAGCCAGCTCATACTGCAGATCTTTGATGGCACTGTTCTTGGAATCCAAGACATCCTACAGAAGACAAAAAGAGGTAAAGTGTTCATCAGTTCCAAGATACAGTCACCATTAAACAATGGTGATTCATCACCATAATTTATCCTCACAATCAGTCAATGTCACAATCACTGTTACAATCACTATTCTGATTTTATCCCTATCATCATCATCATCAAAACCATCATCATAGCTTTTATAATTAACATCATCATGATGATGATCATCATCTTCATTGTTATTGTTGTCATCATCATTATCATCATAGTTGTTATTGTCATCATCATCTTCTTCATCATCATTATCCACATCACTATCAACATAGCAGCAACATATCTAACCACAAAACCTACCTCCAGTTTTCTTGTAACCACTGTGAGAGCCGTAGGATCCAGATTGGATGCAGAGAGAACCTCGTTGAGTTGAGCCTCCTTCTTCTCCAGCGTGTCAGAGAGGGCGCCAAGCTTCTTCTCCAGGAGAAGATTCTTAAAGGAGCTCTTCTGCTGGACCTCATGGATGGCCTTCACAAACTTGGCATACAGTTCATCTCTCTCACTCTGCAACTGTACGTGGAGAAACAAGGAAACAATCAGCATTATTACTTCACAAACTAAAGCAATCAAGGTAAAAACGAGGAGCCCACTACACATATAATGTAAACACATAGACTTAAAGAACCTGAAAGTATGGTTATTGAACTAAAAAACTTTCTAGAGAGGAAAGAAACTGGTGTAGTTTGAGGTCTACATGCTGAAATAATCTTAGATGCATTCTTCAAATCAAGCGGTATTAGAGATTTTTTCTTCTATGAATTATAACCTTTACAGAGAAGGAAATGGAACTAAATTAAAATATGGATACATGTAGATAATTAGGTCACAAATATGAATATAAAGATATACAGATATGAAAAGCATTATGTGGATTGAATATTCTAGGGAAGTTATTCAAAAAAGGTTCATGCTTACCTGTTCAAACCTCTGTTCCAGTACATCATGCTCCCATTGAAGATCTTTGTATTCCTTATCCATGATCTTTAACCTTGCCTTAGCACTCTGTAGAAGAAAGCATGGGATTAATGGAATGATATCACTTGTGATATATCATATTGGGTACAAATTATATTGTTACATAGTAGACTAAAAATGAAATAAATAATAACTACACACAGACAGCTAATTTATACAAGAACTTGTCTTTTGTGTCATAACCATTTGTCCACTAAGGAAAGGAGACTTGTTAGTGTCGATCAAAATATTTTCACCTTTATATAACCATGGATTCATCAAGTAAGTTTCTAAGCAAATGGGCTTTCAAAAACTCTCAATATGGCAAGATACAACATCAATTCATTGTGTAATGACCAACAGATCATCTATGATGACCCTTTATCTTCACAAGTTTGCCACATGGACAAAGAAACAAGAAAGGAAGAAAAGATAAATTCCATTTTTACCAAGACGATAATTTTGGCCTGAAAAAGGGTACTGACAAATTGTCAATTATCATGGCTTTTTATCCTCAAACTTGATGGTTCACAAATCAAAACATATGTAAAGAGCAACAAAGGAAGATTGGCATATAATGTTAGGGCCAGTCTGGAAATCAAGCCGATACCAATTGCTTCAGAGATATCTTCAAGACACAACTCCAAGCTATCCAAGGAGCATGATCATACTTACAGCCAACGAAGCCTTGTCCTTCTCATAGTTAGCTAGTTGTCTGGTAAGTTCCGTCACCTCCTCCCTAGCCTTCTCTAGAGGCTCCTTCAGACGTCTGTTCTCAGCCTGGATCTCATTCATGTGCTTCTCCATCCTCTCCTCCTTCTTCTTCATTTCTTCTACTTGTTCCTATGGCAACAAAGATTCAAATTGAAAATAAGTATTTATAGTCTTCTTGGAAATTCCTTTTTTTACTGGTTTAATCAATTTACAAAACGAAACGATCATAGATAAGATGGGAAGAAATACATGTAGAATGGGGATATCTCGTGCAAAATGAGTTTGAGTAGTGATGACAAGCAAAGCTTATATGTTTCAATTACATACAAAGGCTAAAACATATAAAACAATGTTTCCCATCTCTCAAATATCTTTGCAAAAAAATCATACTGACTCAGAATCATCATTCTTTTATAGCACAATACATCTTTGAAAAAGGTTTCACTATGGTTAGCAAAAGTGCAAGAAGAGACACTGCAAATAGGAAAAACATTGGTGTGTAGTATATCCATGAATTTCAATGTCAACATTTATTTTCCAATTCCAAATAAAGTAAGCTTTACCTTGAGTGAATTAATAAGAGCCAAGTTATTGAGTGTGATGTCATTGTAATAGTTCTTGATGTCACTGAAAGCTTTCTCATGATTCCTCATTAGTGTGTTGATCTGACTGTTCTTTCTCTCCTCGATCTCATGGATCTCTGTCTTCCGTCGCAGTTCAAGCTCTTCTCTCAAAGAACGCATCTTCCTCTCGTACTTAGCCTCAATTTCTAGGGGACAGATTGAACAGTAAAAGCTGGGTTAATGTCAGTGTTCCAATCATTAAGAAGCAAGTCATTATGTTGACAGATTCAACAGAATTCCTTTTAAATTATGCCGTTCATTTTTGTTCTTTTCCCAGCATCTATGCAACTTCTATATTCAACATCAAAAACATGAACATAATTGGTTGAATTGCTCCAGTATTATTTAAACAATTTGAGAAGGAACACAGTATAATACACAAAGGACCAGAATAAAACTAATATTCCAGAATTAATCTTACCTCTTGCTTCTCTTTCAAAGTCAGCTCTAAGATTAGTCACCAACTCATCATTTTTCTACAAAGAAACACAAGTGATTGAACAAATGAAAATATTATGCAAAAAGAATTTGGTAATGGGAAATGAATACTTTAAAAGACATTGAAGACAATATTAGATAAAGGTAAAGTTGCCCAAACCTTTTCAACCATCAACATAACTTTGTGCTTAAAATAAAAGGTAAATTTGTTTCTTACTAGGACTCAAAAAAGAAGTTTGAAAAGAGCTTCTCCTGGGCCCCATTTCACAAAACTTGTCATCAGTGACAAATGAAAATTTGTTGCTATAAGCTAGTGAAATCCTTGCTCCTGATTGAATATCAACAGATTTGTCACTTTTCTGACATTTGTCATTGAAAAAAAAAAAGGCTTTGTGAAACGGGTCCCTAATGTAGTCCTTACTAAAATTTCAATCTCCTTTTGATAGTTTTTCAATTTGTATACTAAAAAATACCCTACTTTTTTAATGTTCAAATCCCATTTTAATGCAAATTTATTTTTGTTGGTTATTTTTTGTTAACACTGCTTCAAACATTAAAATATGGCAAATATTCTAACTCAGTTTCATAATAATGAAGTAGAACTGTCACAAATTGTTAATTACTTCCATTTTTATTGCAAAGGACATTTGCAAAACTATTCTACATTTAATTTAATTATTTGGGGGCATGCAACTTTTCTGATTCTCAACCACTCTCTAAAGTCTTACACAAATGAACGTTATTGATTTACGGTAACCTTCAATCCTACAAGTCTTACCATTTTGAGATCCTTGATGATATCTTCATGAGCTAGCTCCTGCTCCTTGACAGAAACTTTGAGATTGCGTTTATCTTTCCTGAGATCACCTTCTTGTGAACGATTGTCATCCTGAGCAAGCTTCAATGCCACTGCACTCTCTGCTTTCAGTTCAGAGATGTTATTTTGATGCTCGTATAACAAGTGCTTGACTTTTTGCTTGTAAACCTAGGCAAAGGAGAGTCAATGTAATGTTATATTATACTATAGTCACAATACGGAGATTAAGTGCTATCATGTGAATCTTTTGCAAACAAATTGTTAAAAGCAACTGCATTCAAACCCCCTGTGATAATCTTTTTTAAAGAAGATATTCGTTCATGGTTAAACAAAAGTTTATCAAGGACAAACATATTTTCCACCTCTCAATTACTCTACTCTTCTTCTAAAGGTAAAATGTTCTTGTGAAGCCTCAAATGAAAGAAATCAATTATATTTCAGGATAACAAGAAACTGCAAAACAGTTGTTATTCAGAATTCCCCTAATTTTTAGCCCCTAGGTGTATGAAGAAATAAGAAATAACTTTACTTCCCATATATATTTGTTAAAATCATGAAACTGTGAAAAGTGAAAAAATATGATCAAAGACAAAAAAATCATCTAAACATCCAAAATGCATATTAATCTATGTTTTTATTTAATATAACTTCCCATATATATTTGTTAAAATCATGAAACTGTGAAAAGTGAACAAATATGATCAAAGACAAAAAAAAATCATCTAAACATCCAAAATGCATATTAATCTATGTTTTTCTTTAATATTTGGGATAGAATCTTAATATTTGCATACATGATCAGAATTCAAATTCATAAAATTGATGATGGCCTTTAATTTGCCACAAAAACTACAAGACCAACCTTGATTTCAACTTGATGCCTCTCTTCTGCATCTTCCATCTCTCTATCTTTGTTTCTAAGTCCTGCTTTAGACTCATCGAATTGCCTCTTGGTGATCTCCCAGAAAGTGTTCACCTTATCTCTCTCAAGCTGGAAGTAATTCCTCTCTTCTCTCTCCCTATCCAACTCCTCTCGCAACCTTGTGATGTGCTCTTCCAACTGTGGAATAACGGAGGAATGGATAATCATTTATAAAGAGTCACAGTATACAAGGAACTTTCACTTTCTTCCTGTTTAGTTTTAGTGCCAGATTAAAAAAATCAGTTCATTTTTTAAGAATACAGAAGGAGAGCAAAAAACAGTTATACATTCTAGTAAGGTGCAATGTCCTACCCTTAAAATATATTGAAATGATCCTTGTGAATCAGTGCAATCATACTGATGTAATACTCTCTGTATTTTGCTATTGTAATTCTTTTCAAATCATCTGACATTGATACTAGTATAATTCCATTCTTGTGTACCTTTAGGGCATACATGTATCACATTTCTTTGCAATTACCTTCGCATTTCAGGAAAATTTGTTTACCATTGTCATCAATACAGTCTTAAACATTACAAAATTGACCTCTGACATAAATTTTCTCAGGTCATTAAAATATTTATGATTCAATAAAAAAATGTATGAGAACTTGTAAGATTGCATGATTATGAGACATAATGAACATAAGTCACAGGACAGATGAGATAATACTCTTTACACTTTATGATGAATACAAATCAAGGGAAAGGAAGTCAGAAAGATGACCAGAATAAAACAGACATTCTGAGATTCAAACAGCGCATATATATCTTTAAAAAATCGCACATTAATTTTGCACTTCAACTTACCTGCTCTTTAGACATTTCCTCCGTAGATATTCCATCAATGACGGTTGGAGTCTTTGCCTTTGCCGACTTCTTTTTACCCTTCTTCTTCCCTTTTTTTGGAGGCTGATAACAGAAAACAGAAAACAGAAGAAAAAATATACTTTGTGTCAAAGACTTTGCTCTGAGGGTTTTAATGTGTCAAGACACTTTGCAAAATAAAGGTTTCCTAAATTGCAGTTTTATTTTATGACCAAAACAAAATCTATAACTAGACCTCTAGGCCTACTCTAAAAATCTACTCTGTTCATCAAGTGGCACTAACTAGGACCTACCACTAGTGCTGTAACATCACGGATATCTCCAATTCCGTTTAACCGCCTGTCAAAACCGGACGGTTTTCGGTTAAACGATTTATTTTTTTTTTAAATAAATTTTTAAAAAAAAAAAATCATTTTTTTTTTTTTTTTTTTTTTTGGCCGTGTGAAAAAGCAGGAAGGTGATTTAACTGAAGGCGCCGATTTGTGCTTGTGAACTAGTCACAAATAATAGTAACAATGTCGTTTTAGAATAATGTGTAAGATCATTAAAGTAAATTAAAAACTACAGGTAGAGGACCTAGGATAGAACCTTGTGGTACACCATGTGTTAAACTGGGATGAATATATATTGAGATCTATTACAAAGATTACTTTCAAACCAAGATGACAGACAAATTGGAGTGTTGTTCTAGTTTCCAAGTGGTAAGTCATCACACCAATTACTGAGCTGGGAGACATTGCCAGGCATAGTGCCAGGTGGAGGGGCATAAATCGAAACTTAAAAAAAAAAAAAAAAAAAAAAAAAAATTATAAAAATTTTTTTTTTAAAAAAACGGGAAAACGAAACCGTCCAATTAAAAACGGAATCCGCCATGGGCGGTCGGATACCGGACGGTTAAACGTTTGACTACAGCACTACCTACCACAACTAGTTGCTATTAATATTATCAATTATATTATAAACACATCTTTTAAACTATTTATGAAAAGTTGACTTTTGAAAACTGACAGGATAACCAACCTGTGTCAGTCAAATGGTGACTTTCTTTGGCGCTGGCCTCGGTCACTCACTTTGACTTTCTGACCAAACACACAACATGTGGGTAAAATTTCAATAAGAAATGTCATGTTTTTACATGAGTACAAGTACTCGCATATCCCTAGCATCATACTAGACTAAAAGTCTAATTTGAAAATAAATAATGATCAAAATTGTAAATATCACAAATCGGCTGCTGATGTTAGACGCTCACCCCTCATCAAGAGGCGACAGCCTGCCCGAGCTGTGGGCCTAGTAACTTGGTCAAGGTAGCCTCAACTGAACAAATCCTGCTGCCATTACTATTTTTCACTTAATGCTTGTCATCACTTTAATCGGCACATGATAAATGACAAAGTAATTATCAAAAATACTATTGAATTCATTATACTACTCACCATCTTGGATTATATTTGTTTTAAGGTCCCTTTTCGACTAAAAAGTTGCAGTTTTCGTGCCACACTCTGTTTGTTGTTGATCATAGAAACCAATGTAACATACCGGTATATATCCCGGATGTTACTAAGCATGAGCGCCATCTGTTGTCAAATACATTATAGTTTTTGTAAATAATCAATAATAATTATGTACTTCGAGTTTGCCGATAAGTATTTCCTGTTGGTTATAAGGCTGTATGGCTGTACAGGCGCGGATCCAGGGGGGGGGGGGGCCGAGCGGGCCTTGGCCCCCCCCCCCCCCCCCCCCCCCCCCCCGAAAAAAAAAAAAAAAAAAAGAGAGAAGAAAGGAAAAGAAGGGAAAGGGAAAGAGAGGATAAAGGGAAAGAAAGAGGAGGAAGAAGAAAAGAAAAGGGGGAAGAAGGAGATCGGGGGGGGGGGTCGAAAGGGCCTTGCCTCCCAGGCTGTTGACCCCCCCCCCCCCCCATCAAAAAAATAAGAGAGAAAGAAGGAAAGGGAAAGAAAAAAAGGAAAAGAGAAGATACTGGCGTACTAATAGGGGGAGGGGGGAGGGGGCTTGGGGGAAATCAAATTCAAACGTGGTTTATTTCTAATTCCACAACGGTGGATTACAAATAATGCTAAAATGACATCATTTCCGAGATTTTTCCTCACTTTTTAGTAAATTATACGTTTGTATGTGTTTGTTGGAAAATGAAAAATTCCTAAATTTGCAGTCAGGCAAGAAATGTGATTGTTGAGATTCCTACATGTCAGGGCCCGAGGTACTTCAGGGATTGGGAGCCTCGAGCCCCCCCCCCCCCCCCCCCCACTTTTTATGAAAAAGTATATTAAAGAGAAATAAAATAGAATGAGAGCTAGAAAGAAAGAATAGTTAACTGCCAGTGTTAACAAATAATGAGGCATCAAAATATGCTCATCTGACCGTGATTAATTGCCTAAAACCCCTATTAATACTTCCGGGGGCTCTGCCCCCTTGATTGCACCTTGGGCCCTACGGCGGGCCCTTAGATGCTCATCTGACGGTAAGTTAATGCCTAAACCCCTGATTTTGGGGGGGGGGGGCTCCGCCCCCTGGACCCCACGCCAAATAGTGACCTGCCAGTGTCACAAAATAATAAGTTATAAAAAAAAATGCTCATCTGACCCTAATTAAACGCCTAAAACCTCTGAGCTTCCTGGGCCGGCTTCGCCGCCGCCGCCCCAGACAAGGATTAACAATCGAGAACGGTACAGTCTTCTTTCTCGCAAAATTTTATGAAACGTCAAGCTTCCGCGCTTCGCGCGGGAGGGGGAACCTGAATTCAGACAAGGATTCAGAGGCGAGAACGATAATACGAATCTTTAATGATTTAATGAAACGTAAAAGCTTCCGCGCTTCACGTGGGATGGAGGGGGGAGGCTAAATTCCGACGAGGATTATTTTCGAGAACGATACAACGAATCGTCTTCTTTCTCTAATGATTTAATGAAAATTAAAAGCTTCCGCGCTTCGTGCAGGAGGGGAGCGGGGACTGAATTTAGTCAAGGATTAAGAGTCAAGAACGGTACAACGAATCGTCTTCTTTCTCTAATGATTTAATAAAAATTAAAAGCTTCCGCGCTTCGCGCGGGAGGGAGGAACCTGAATTCAGATGAGGATTAAGAGTCGAGAACTGTACAGCCAATCGTCTTTTTTCTCTCATAATCTTATGAAACTTAAAAGCTTCCGCACTTTGCGCGGGAGGGGGGGGGGGACCTGAATTCAGACGAGGATTAAGAGTCGAGAACTGTACAACGAATCGTCTTCTTCTCTAATGATTTAATGGAACGTAAAAGCTTCTGCGCTTCGCGCGGGAGGGGAAGGGACATGAATTCAGACGAGGATTAAGAGTCGAGAACTGTACAACGAATCGTCTTCTTTCTCTAATGATTTAATGAAACGTAAAAGCTTCCGCGCTTCGCGCGGGATGGGGGGGGGGGGGAACTGAATTCAGACGAGGATTAAGAGTCGAGAACGGTACAACGAATCGCCTTCTTTCTTTAATAGTTTAATGAAACGTCAAAGCTTCCGCGCTTCGTGCAGGAGGGGGAGGGGGGCTGAATTTAGTCAAGGATTAAGAGTCGAGAACGGTACAACGAATTGCTTCTTTCTCTAATAATTTGATGAATCGTAAAAGCTTCCACGCTTCGCGCGGAAGGGGGAACCTGAATTCAGACAAGGATTCAGAGGCGAGAACGATAATACGAATCTTTAATGATTTAATGAAACGTAAAAGCTTCCGCGCTTCACGTGGGATGGAGGGGGGGAGGCTAAATTCCGACGAGGATTATTTTCGAGAACGATACAACGAATCGTCTTCTTTCTCTAATGATTTAGTGAAAATTAAAAGCTTCCGCGCTTCGTGCAGGAGGGGAGCGGGGACTGAATTTAGTCAAGGATTAAGAGTCAAGAACGGTACAACGAATCGTCTTCTTTCTCTAATGATTTAATAAAAATTAAAAGCTTCCGCGCTTCGCGCGGGAGGGAGGAACCTGAATTCAGATGAGGATTAAGAGTCGAGAACTGTACAGCCAATCGTCTTTTTTCTCTCATAATCTTATGAAACTTAAAAGCTTCCGCACTTTGCGCGGGAGGGGGGGGGGGGACCTGAATTCAGACGAGGATTAAGAGTCGAGAACTGTACAACGAATAGTCTTCTTCTCTAATGATTTAATGGAACGTAAAAGCTTCTGCGCTTCGCGCGGGAGGGGAAGGGACATGAATTCAGACGAGGATTAAGAGTCGAGAACTGTACAACGAATCGTCTTCTTTCTCTAATGATTTAATGAAACGTAAAAGCTTCCGCGCTTCGCGCGGGATGGGGGGGGGGGGGGGGGACTGAATTCAGACGAGGATTAAGAGTCGAGAACGGTACAACGAATCGCCTTCTTTCTTTAATAGTTTAATGAAACGTCAAAGCTTCCGCGCTTCGTGCAGGAGGGGGAGGGGGGCTGAATTTAGTCAAGGATTAAGAGTCGAGAACGGTACAACGAATTGCTTCTTTCTCTAATAATTTGATGAATCGTAAAAGCTTCAACGCTTCGCGCGGAAGGGGTAAACTGAATTCAGACGAGGATTAAGAGTCGAGAACTCTACAAAGAATCGTCTTCTTTCTCTAATAATTAAATAAATCCTAAAAATTTTGCCATCGAATTTTTGGGGCTCCAGACACTATAGAGGGGCTTTAACTTTTATGAACCGGAAAATGGAACGCCTTCTCAGTATTCCTTAGACAAGAGCATTCAAAGCTCCAATAATCTGCGTTTACCATAATGAACATTTTGGGTTTGGTAGAGAAAATAATGCTTCTCTTTCTCATTTCTTAATGTCAGTTCAAGCATGCACACAATTTCCAAGACCATTTTGATTGCTATCATTTCTCATTTTCGAAAACACATCTCTTTAAAAACTCATGTAGATAGGCCTAATCTCCTTTGATTTCTCGTTGCACTTCTATTTTGAAACCTAAAAAGGCTTATACGGTCAGCGTTAAACAAAAAAAATAATAGTATAATAAAATGATAATAATAATAACAGTAATGATAATAATAATAATAATAATAATAATAATAATAATAATAATAATAATAATAATAATAACCTAGTAATAATAGTATATTTGTAAAGCGCTTTAAGACATTTGTGTTAAGCGCTATATAAAAATTAAATATGATTATTATTTAATATAATTTACACAGCATTTGTCTCTACGCGCTCAGTTACCCCGGTCATTCCTAAGAAGTATTCCTACCATATAGACGGTCACCTTGGAGGCATATTGCAATTACTAGCACAAAAGCTAAATATAAGACTAATCGCTTCGATGGGATATATTTTAAACTCTGTTTCAGAGGAAACGTTGCTAAGCATGCCGTTTCTTATAATTGAGGGTTATTTTGTTGTTGTTTGACAATCTTCATGCAGGTAATTTTTAAAATTGTTTTCTTTTATTTTATGTTTTTATGTTAGTGACATCCCGTAGGCCCTATTCCTCTTTGAAGAAAAATCGACAACCCAGAAATGTTTGTATCGCAGGATTGTAATTCAGGATTTATTCTATACTTTAATTTGAAGCTATAATAATGACTTTAAACATAATACATGCAACTTTGCCACCGAAACATTTTTGTTCTCCGATCCCCAGCCCTTGTATACCACTTCAAAAAAAAAAAAATGTTATACTATGATTTCGTAATAGAAATTTATATTTTTCCCGAATAACTATCTGATACGACTGTACCCAGGCGAGCCGGAAGCATTTTTGGATGGGGGGGGGGGGGGGCGAAAATCACCTTTCAGGGGCAGTGGCGTAATGAGCAAAAACTCTTACATTTAGTTGTTACATGAACGTTTTTCAAAGTAAAGAATGAAGCTGAGGGGTTTTAGGCATTAATATATGGTCAGATGAGCATTTAGAGGCCCGTTTTAGGACCCGTGGGGGTGGGGGGGGGGGGGGGGGGGTCCCGAGGGCAGAGCCCCGGAAAGCTCAGGGGTTTTAGGTATTTAATTACGGTCTGCAGATAAGCAAATTCTGATACCTCATTTGTGACACTGGCAGGTCACTCATTTTTTCTTTCTCTCTTTCTTTATTTTTTTCCCCTTCACATACTTTTTCGAAAAAGTGAAGGGGGGGGGGGGGGGCTCGAGCCCCCGAGCCCAGCCGTTTTGTAGGCCCTGACATGAAGGCTACTTAATAGGCATATTTTTTGGCCTGACTGTTAATTTGAAAATTTGTAATTTTCTACTAACGGTTAAAAAAAGTATAATTTACCAAAAAAATTGAGGGAAAAATCCCGGAAAATCATGTCGTTTCAGCAACAGTAAGTCACTGGTATCGAATTAGAAATAAACCACGTTTGCATTTTAACTGGGGGGGGGGGGGGTTACAACTGCCCCCATCAGTACGCCAGTGTTCAGGGGCTCATGTCTTCTCACCCCAATAAAACACACATGCTTTCCCATCCTCTCATTTCCACAATATGCGCGTATCGTATTATTAAATCCTCCATTGATAAATATAGGGGCTTGCGGAATGTTTACTCTCCTTTTCTTTATGTGATTTTTATGTGATTCAATACAGGTTTTAGTATTTATTAAAAAAAAATGTTTTGAAAAATCCAAATCATTTTTTTTTTTTTTTTACTCCTTTACTGCTATTTTTTCCGGAGCGGGTGGGGGGGGGGGGGCAACATGCGTTCAGTGCCCCCCCCTCCCCACACTCTTTCATTTGGAGGTGACTGCCCCCCGCTGCCCCCCTCCCCCCCCCCCCCCACTTTCGTCGCCCCTGAATGTACCTCACATACTTCACCCCTCAGTCCCCTCAAAGTGGGTGGGTTGGGGCGTTGGTAAAGAAAGTTCAAAATGAGATTTTGATCATTTCGAATGTAAACGTGCAGGAAGCGGGCGATTATTTTCGCGTGCAACAGTCAAGCGCAAAGATCCATCCCATGATAGTTCCATTGCGCATGCGTTATTTCATTCATTCGCAAGCCATGGTGGAGTGAAGATGGCGGGTGCGAAGTCCATTGAAGATATATTTTCTTCTGAGGTTGACGAAAAGGAGGTATCTGCGTTGGTTGGATCTCTAGTAACAAAGTTAGCCCCACAGAATCCCAAGGCAGCGTCTGGACCATCACAAGATGCCATAGTGACAAGGAATCATGTCAACGACAACTCTTCCGTACGTGCACAAACTGGACCTGGCGGGCTAACAACATTAAAACAAGCGGAGCCGGGGGTTTCAATACACACGAATGCGGCAAGGCAAACCATGCAGGATTCGCATTTGGGCAACACAGGCACACCGACTGCGGGTCTCAATCACGATAATGCGTCAAGTAATGCTCATAAAAATGACAGTGCAGCTCAAGGAAATGGTCAAAACAATCACGGAATTGGTTCTACCACTATCGGTGATATTGTGAAAAGGGACTCGCAGTCACCAGCAAATTCAAACATGATGACGAAGCCGCCAACGGCGACGACTGTTTCGGTGAGCCAACAGTCACCTGCGATTGTGGCGCAGATCACCGGAGCGGGCCTTCCAAAACCAAACGTAACGCCGATCAGTAGAGCAGTTTCTGGTAATGTAATGAGTCAAATTAGAACTTCAGTTGGCAATGACCAACAAATTGTTAAAGTTGTTTCAGTGCCTAGCATGCCTAGTGCTGTGCAAAATGCTAATTCTACAAAACATGAACTTGGTGCAACTGCCATTGTGAATTCTAATGTAAACAGCTTGACTGGCACAGCCAAAGAGCAGCTTCTTGTAAGGCAACAAACATTACCAAGTAATGATCAATCAGGTGCAATGAAACCCAGGATTGTTGTTCAGCCAAACATATCAACAATTCAGCAAGCAACTTCTGGAGTTGCAACAATATCTGGTGTTCCGTCGGGCAACATGACACTGGGCAATGCTAATCAGAAAGTTGTGACGATCAATGTTGCTAATCCAACCACCCCAATGGGAGGGAGACCAGGACAATATGTAGTAAACACTGTTCCTGGAACTAAAGCTATGTCGCCCCAGATCATAACGCAGACAATTCGAATGCCTAGCGGACATCATATGATTGCTCCTAGAGCGCAACTTGGTGGACAAGTTCAGATCCGTCTGCCACCAGGTACTTCCTTGCCACCCGGAGTTGTACTTATCAACAAAGGAGGAACGGTACAAGCCGTCATGGGAAATCCAGCTGCAATTCAGGCTCATGTAGCAGCAGGAGCTCCAGGAATGACGTATAGGCATGTTCAGGTACAGAGTAAAAACAGTGTTCTCTGCAGCTAATGATTTGAAATAGTTCATGGTTTTGTACAAAAAATCAACCAGCAGAATTAATAATATGAATTGGATAGTTTTTAATTTCTTCAGGTAATTACATGACTTGAATTTTTTTTAAAAATAATTTAAATACTTATCTCAGTCGCCAAACTGGAGATCATTTACATCATGTAAACCTTTAATATTCTGAAGAAAGATTTGCCCTTGCAATCACATTTACAACTGTTTCTCCAGACTCTTAACCTTTGCTCATAGTTTTGGTGCAGATCCTGAGCAACAATTGTTTGGGCTCCTTTAAGTTTATTTGTCAGTGCATTATCAAATCTCTGTGATGTGTGCCATTAATTGGTTTTGCATAGACTTGCTAAATCGATTGAAAGGAGGCCACATCATTAGTACGATATATTTACATAATGAATTTCTTATGATATGAGAAATCGATTAAAGATCCTGGTATTCAGATTGTGGTTTGCAGAAATAAAGGGAGAGTTGTCCTCATGTATCAAGTCTGTAAATTTTAATACAACACATGATGTTCGAATGCCCAGCTCTATTCCAATCATACTCAATACTGTTATAACAGTTTTAATTGCAAATGGTACTGTTTTATATCCTTATTGCAGCCGGGGATAGTCACCTCTACAGCTCAGCAAGGGAGGGTCCTAACATCAGTTGGTGGTAGCACTTCAGCCATTGTAAGCAGTCCTCAAGTTTCAACAACCCGATCAGGTTCACCTGTAATCATTGCCTCTGGTTCACCGACAGTGTTTAGAGGGGCTACATCTGCAAATGCATCATTACAACAAAGCGCATTACCGGCAAAGGCCGCAGGAAAGAGTCAGGGTAGCTCTTCATCCAGCTCTGGGGGTCAGCTGTCAAGCTCAGCCATGGATAATGTGAAGAAATGCAGGAACTTTCTGACAACTTTGATCAAACTAGCTTCCAATGCAAATCAGCCACCGGAGACTGTTCAAAATGTCAAGATGCTGGTTCAGAACCTCATTGTAAGTTGACAGAGTAGTACCTAGTACATTCCTGTGATGTCCCTCTCACTGGTCGCAATGTCCTTTTTAAAATAACAAATCTAGAGACTACTTTAGACTTTTTTTTAGAGATGCCCTTTAATTATTTTGTTCATTTGCTTTTCTGTCCTTCACCTGTGACTTCCTTTCATTAACATATTAGTGGCTTGTCTTTCAAACTTACATTTTAGGCATGCTATGAATTTTGAAATGTGACAAGCAAGTGAAACAGGGATGTATAATCCATATACAATTTCCATGGATTTATAGAAACTTAACTGTATTTTAATGTTAAAGAGCAAACCGTACATTCTTTGCCAAGAACCAGAAGGGAGTCAACTCATATCATTATCACCCTTGCAGAGGATATGTCCCTCTTTTTGTTGTTTATAAAATATAAATGGATATGAAAAATAGTAAGAATTCCTTCATGGATACATTTTGTCACTTACAAGATAATATGTGTCATAAATAAGCATATATGTAGTTCTATTTGGAACAGAACACTAATTAGCAGTCATTCTATAGACCTATAGGCCCAAATTCACAAAGGAGGTTTAGATTTAACTTTTTAACAAAATAAGCGTACCTTGCCTTGCGTGCGTCTAATGTTGGACCTCTGACTTGTGTAGCGCTTATTTTGCGCTTTAAACCTTGGGTTAAAATGTAAATGAGGGTTTAAACCATGGGTTAAATCTAAACCTCCTTTGTGAATTTTGGCCATAGAGTTGAAGAAAGAAAAAAAGGCCCCATCATGAAATGTTGTGCTGTATTATCACTTGATAGAAGTAGAAGGGAAATTTATATTAGGGAGGAAGATGATATATGTAATTTATCAAGTGTGGCAAAAAGAATTGCTTGTCTCCATTTATAAATCTTTATCTGTATAGAAAGATGTACAGATTGAACTTTCATTATGGTCAGCCAGGTCAGAGGATTGAGCTAATTCCTTTTTTTCCCGGGACAAAATCTTTTAATTTTTTTTTTTCATTTTAGTGAGGCAGATGTAAAGCTATGCCAGAATTTAAATGCCATATCTTCAAGCTAGGAGCAATGATTTGCAAACAATTTTTTTGTTGCCACCACTTGTGAAAGAGTAATTTTCAAATGCCAATTGCTATTATCCTACTCTGGTATCACAAGCATAAGGAAATGGTAATTTGTTTTCAGGGGTTTACTCTTTAAAGCTTATCAACACTAGTGTGGCTAGGAGGGATTAGACCACACAGCGAGGTCACTAACAGGTGGCTATCTCATCAACTCAGCTCTCAAATAACATAAGAAATAGAGGATCATGGGGGGCCAACAGGCACCGATTTGGGAAGTTTTCTATATAGAGGGAGCAAGTAGCTACAAGTAGGACAGTGGGGCTTTAAAGAGAATGCATGACAGTCCACAAGCACAATATTTACTGTGAGGCATACGTCGGCTATCACCTTTCCCTACATACCGGTAGTCATTTTCAAACAAGTAGTAAAAGGCAATACTTGTATATATTTAGCCATATGTATTTAAAACAAAATTACTACAAATTCCATGTCTTCAAATGAGAGGGAATTAAGATATTCTCTTTTAGTATGAAACATGTTCAGAAAATATCTTGGTCAGTTCGACTTTCTTGTGTGAATTTGAACCTGTATGGAATATAATTATTACGGATACATGTACTTCCGTTTTGTTTGCAGGATGCCAAAATTGAACCAGAGGAGTTTACTCTCAAACTTCAGAAGGAGCTCAACTCTTCACCACAGCCATATCTTGTGCCTTTCCTTAAGGTAAAAATTGCTCTCTTATTTCATGTATCAGTATCCAACATTTTGACCCCTGCCCTCTTCGCCCATATCTATATTGTAAATTTGTATCATGATATTTGGACATTGTGTCAGTTTAACAATTGTGTTTCATTTGCTGTTAGTCCTTTTTATAGCTATTTAAAGATGTATATGTTCAAATCAAAAGAATTTCTTGTAAAGTGCTCTCTTATTCCAAATATAATTTTAAGTGCATGTGGTTTAAAACTGAAAACCAAACTTTGATGTTGCATTCATGTCTAGTCCCATAAACCTACAGTACATGTATGTATCCGTATCTGTCTGAACTCTCTGGAGTGGTTTTTATTGTATGCAATTTTCAGCATGATTAAGGTCATTTCATTAGTAAGTAGATGATTCCAAAATGTTAAAATACACAATTAAACTTTCTTAAAAGTGTAATCAAATTTTGCCAATAAATTCTCCAGGCAGTTCCTTTCTAGATACAATTGTACGATATGTGCCCAACTGGTGTTTATGTTTGTTTTTTTTCTACCTTGCAGAGGAGTTTACCTCTATTGAGACAAACCCTGCAGCGAGGAACTTCAGGGTCTAACATCTCGACCCTGATGGGACCTTTACCAGCCTCTGTAGCAGCCTCAGCCAGTGGATCAGCTACTGCTGCTACTCCTGTCAAGCCTGGCATCACCAAGATCACACCATCAGCAGCAGCATCTATGGCTGCAGCAGCAGATGGAAAGGGTAGTAAACAGTCGCAGCAAGCCTCTCAAAAGCATTCGTCCAGTAAGAACTCCAGGGCCAGTTCTCCTGGTCGCTCTCTAAGCCCTCAAGCAAAACCTGGTGTGAGCAAGTCATCCAAAGCATCATCACAGGTTAGTTGAATTCCAAGTATGATGGTTTATTTCTGACCTTGTTGGACTTGGATTAATCAACCATTTTGTAGACTACAATTTTTTTAAAACCATATGGTCACAATGGTACAATAACTTGAGAAGGACCCAATGTGAATAAAAATGGAATGGAATAATTTGTTTTATAGGTACAACTAGTGGTTGCTCTCTGTTTTTCTACTATAAAACATTTAGGGAAAAATCTGTAGTTGGAGGAAGTTGTAAAAATGTTTCCAGTGCATTTTGTCTTGTAATATTATGCTTGAATGTTTCTTTCTATAATAAGTTTTAAAGCTTGAACGTATAAACAAAGTGTTCAGCTCTGATAATTCAAGCTGATATTTTACCTTGCCCTACTTTGCAGTCATCGAGCAAGCCATCACGGTCATCGGGTAGTAAAAGTAGTTCCAGCAAGTCTTCAGGAGGAAAAGCTACACCTTCTAGAAAAGACAAGAGTAAAGATACATCTGCAAGCTTTAGGTTAGTAACTGATGCCTTCATATAGGAAAAGTTTCACTTGGATCTAATAATTAATCCAGCATTTTCAGTACAAATAAATAATAACTAGATAAAATAACTAGATACAAGAATACTGATTGCGCCGCATGAAACATTAGTTGTATATATGTACCTACAAAATTGTACTGGTTTTGAGATGAGAGAAAATGGTTTATCAGATTATAAGTTGAATTCTGATATTTGATAGTCTATGGCTATTATGTTTTGATTAGTACAATGTATTTCTGCTGGAACTGTTTTATAGGTTTGTGTTAGGTTTGCTCTTATTCTATATTCATGTATTAAATGGATTGAATTTTGAGCAAAGGAGAACAAAGGGGATGAATAGTCACAATGTAATACCTTATTTTTTTCAGAGATGTGCCTTTGTGTGTATTACCTTTATGTATCTTGACTTGCATTGCAATACAAATGAGTAAGTCAATGGCTTTCAGTGTAAAGTATGAATTATCAAAAATAATTTGGACAAGTTTGGAATTTCAGGTTTGATCTGTCTGAATAGTATACAAAAAACTTGCTATTTCATTGAATGGAAGAATAATATTATTTTTCATCTTGTTTATGATAGTCGGGACGATGACGATATCAATGATGTAGCATCAATGGCTGGTGTGAATCTATCAGAGGAGAGTGCTCGTATTCTTGCCACCAACGAAGCCTTTGTAGGCACCCAGCTCAGGTCATGTGAAGATGAGAAGTTCCTCCACAAAACACCTCTACAGCATTGCATGAGTAAAATATGTGAGTTTAACGGCAGTCCATGACCTCACAAGATTGTGATCATGATCATATTTTACATTCAATCTTTGAAGAAAAAAAATATAGGGAAGAATAGATTATGAATTTCCCATTGTCGTGTAAGTAAACTTTATAAAAAAAGGTGAATAATAGATTTTGAACAGTGAAAAATGTTATTTTATTATTTATTTTGTTATTATAACTTCTTGTCTATTGATGAAATGTTTGTTACACATTCCAAGATTTTTTATTTTTATGGCTTGACAGTTTTGTAATTAATTGGTTTCTGACGGTTCATGGCACTTTGTCAACCATTTCCATTCAAACTTAATTTCATTATAAACGATGATAGAGAAAATTTGTTCTTTTGATTTTTTTCAGGTACAAAGCATGGGATTTCTGATGCTGCACCGGCCGTCTTAGACGTTGTTTCACTGGCAGTTCAAGAAAGATTAAAAAAAGTTGTTGAGCAGCTGAGTGTTATATCACAGCATAGATTAGAGATATATAGGGTAAGTTGTCAAAACGTTAGTGAATATGCTGTGAAGAATGTGGGCAGAGTAACTGGAATAACATGATTTTAGCAAAGTTTCTCCTTTGAAAGGTGATTAATTTATAATGTGTGGAAGTGAAGGAAGAATAAAACTTTTATGCCTAAAGAAGTCACATATGTTTTTTTTTGTGTTTATGAATGTTTAGGAATGATTTTGGTAATAGTTTTCCAGAAAGTAATAACCATTTAGTGCAAAGTTATTATATGAATTCAATTTTATTGTCTATTTTTGTCTTTTTCTTCAACCAGAATGATACAAGATATGAACCAATAAATGATGTACGGTCACAGCTGAAGTTCTTCGAGCAGCTAGATGCATTAGAAAGAAAAAGGAGAGATGAGCAGGAAAGAGAAATACTTCTCAGAGCAGCTAAGGTTAGTATACTTGATAAATGTTGGCAATATTCGTAATCTTTCTTCTCTCTCTCTGACAAGACTCTGAACAATTTGGTGATAGAAGTAATTAACATTAGAGGTGTCAGTGTAGAAGTTTGCTTTATTTCCTATGGAATTAACAGTTTGCTCTATTTCTAATGCGCTTTCAATTGTTACCTTGTTTGTATAGCCACCTGAGGTACTATTGGAAATATTATGTTTTGGTTTGATGTAATTTATACATGGGTAATTCCATAAATTAGGGACTTACTTTGTGACATTTTTGGTGTCCCAGGTACATAAGGAGCCCACACGTATTTGTGGCTCTGAGTAAAGACTCAAATAGTGGAGTGAGATTATTACGTGAATCTAAGTATGAGGATGCAATATTATGCTTGGAAATCACTTTACAACATCACTCCACTATTTAAGTCTTTACTCAGGGCCACAAATATGTGTGGGTTCCTTATGTAAGTGGGACACTGAAAATGTCACATAGTGGGTCCCTAATTTATGGAATTACCCACATCCTGCTGTTACGATTTCTCAAGAATCCTTTGAGACATTAATTGTAAATTAGATAAAGAACCCTTTTAGGTATGAAGTAGGCACCACCACAGGGAGATTAGGTGGCTTGATATACTAACATAAGAGTTCACTGATGCCAATGGTATTATTTTTGTACCCTTACTAATTCTCATAGATTACCTTAATCAAATTTATGACTTGAATAAAGTTGGATTTTGGATTATGTGAACGTATGAAAAAACTAGCAATAGAGAATTCCTGAATTTATTATAGAGCGTGGCAATGGATTTATTTCATATTTTTGTGACAATTGATTAAATAGATAATTGCAAATTGATGCCTGTTATTGTTTTGTTGTTGTTGAACAGAGTCGTTCAAAACAAGAGGACCCTGAGCAGCTAAGATTGAAGCAGAAAGCAAAAGAGATGCAACAAATGGAATTAGAGCAGGTGAGACAGGCGGAAGCTAATCTTACAGCCTTGGCAGCCATTGGTCCTAGGAAGAAGAGGAAACTAGATTCACCAACTCCTAGCTCATCTCAGGTAAGAATTCTTTTTCACTACTTCTTTCCTTCTTAATCACCAGAAAATGAAGTGAAGTTCTCTGTTTAGAGCCAGAAGTTGCATAAAGTTGTGTGTTCAAACACAGAGACCTTTTGTCTCCAGACAGACAATATTCACTGTTTTAATCGATTATGAGATTTTCAAGAACATTCATGGCTGCTTCTCATTCAGATCATTCATTTGTTTGGTTAAATTGGACAAACATATTTATAAAAATGAAGAAGGAAACACTTAGTGTTTTGTGTTCCTTTCATTCTTTTCCATTAAAAGCATATTGAAAAGAAAACAGAAGCCTAACATTTTCAGCATATTTGGTTATCGAAGTATGTGCTGTGTAACAAGATGGAAGGACGGTTCTAGGACAATTACCCCTGGACAATCAACTCCGAAAACTACCCCCCCCCCCCCCCCCCCCCCCGGAAAAGTACCTCTAGAGCAATCACCCCCCCCCCCCCCCCCCCCCCCCCCCCCCCCCCCCCCCCCCCCCCCCCCCCCCCCAATTTTTCTTAATTAAAAAAAAAAACAAAAACAAACTTATTATACAGGTGGTCTTCCCCACTAATGAACGGGGGGGGGGGGGGGGGGGGGGGGGGGAATTGTCCAGGAGGTAATGTTCCTGATATGTGGAAGGATAATCCTGTTTTAACAGTCCAAAAACTCATGAAAAAGACAAACGCACGTTTAGAAGTGAATCTAGATGACACTAGGTGCTATGTATAATTGCGAGGAACCTTTTTCAAATAATCAGTTCTTTGTTCTGTTCTACATACAGGGTGGTGCTAGTGGATCATCATCATCATCATCATTATTAAGTACCTTGAACTCTCCAAGCTCCAATACAACTCCATTCCTAAGAACACAGGTAAGTCCCTATCTATATTGTGAGACTAGCATGGTACTGCTAACAAGTAATCATGTTTTTGGCAGTAGAACAAGTGGGTAAAGATTATTAACCTATTCCTAGCCTCTTCATACTTTCTTTGGTATAAATCTACTGTAAAATGATAATTCAGAGTTTTTGAGAACAAAAACAAAATGAACAAACAAAATCAAATACAGTGGTCACGTTTTTGTTTGGAAATAATACACTCTAGATCATTAAACAATATGAAGGAGATAATCATTAAACTTTGTTTTGGGGAAAAAAGAAGATATATTATGGAGACTGTGTAATTAGCAGATGTACATTTTCATGACTACTTGGATTAGCATTTATCAGTTATCAGAAGAAGATTTGACTATACTATGCAAGTGGGTTTTGTGTGCTAATAGTTATACACTAGTAATCTGGTAGCATGTGACTACAGAAGAGTTATTTAAATGTTATGTAGATTCAAGGTTATGTATTTTTGGGTGATCAATAGCCACTTTCAAACAACCAACCAGCCATATGAATTTCTTATTCTTTTCCAGTTTCGTCGCACGAAGAGAGTAAACATGAAGGATTTACTGTACCTAATGGAGCAAGAACCAGAAACCAAAAAATCCCATCTACTCTACAAGATGTACCTCAAATGATCTGTTACAATGGAAGAGGTATCATCCAGCTACAGATGTCTGCTAGTTCCCAAAGACCACCGTTATCCTACAATAATACTGTCCAGGTATTGAAGATACTGTACCAGCCAAGAGAGATCATCCATGGGGCTGATATGCCCAAGACTTCGATGATTTAGCTCGTTCAGATGTAGCATGGCTATTGCTATTGTATGGATGGCTTTTGGTTTGACGTCACTGCAAGGAATCAACAGGCTCGTGCACATCATTTTGCAAGGTTTATCTGACATAGAATATGCAGCACCAAGTGGAAGGAAGCCATGCTCTTCAGCTCTGTATTCCTCAAAAACGGAAGGGTGCTGTAGAATTGATATCATCCAATGTAATCTATGACTATGATTGCCTTAGCTCCTATGCGTCTTCAGATAATCCAACTAAGTCAGGCTTCGTTTTCTTTTAACATTTCCAATGGGTTTCTCCATCTTGAGTTACCTTTGGGCCGAGTCTGTAAGGCTTTGAGGTATGGAAGTCAAGAGATCTTGCCTCAATGTGGACAAATCACCTACCTAAACTGGAGAGGAACTGAATATCGGTGTGGTGTAGTGCTCAGCTTTCTATTCTCAGATGCACATATCTTTCTCACAATTGTATCACTGTCAAGTTCACTGCTGATTTTGACAAGAAATGCATAAGATTGTTTTAGAATGCTGAAATACCATATTCTTTCTACCTGACCTATATTCTGTAGCTTTGCATATTTGGGATCAGTGATGTTAACAGATTCATTGTATTCTGCTTTGTCAGAGATGTTTTGTGATTCGTACACTGCACAATCTTAATTTCTAGCATAAAATAACTCTTATGGATATCGTTTAGAGTTCCTTCTTAGGGTAATGGATACATCATTGTAGTTATGTTAGCTTCAGTTAAACAAAAATTATCTTAAGCTTCAGTTAAAAACAAGTTAAAACACAAAACCAATCCCTAACAGAAAGGAAGCATTATAAAAAGCATCTGGGTAGTGTGTAGTTAGGATAAGAAAGACTATTAAAAAAAAAATCTTCAAAAGTGCGCCTTGAGCATTTGCTTTCGAGTGAATATGGCGCCTTAGAAATCTCATACTTTATTATTATTTTTAGTAGTATTATTACCATATTATTATTAATATTATTATTATTATCATCATCATTATTATTATTATCGTTTCAAACAATTGCTTCCTGCATACAAGGTATTTAATAGAATGATATGATAAAGATAGTCCAATGATCGTGCTAATGCCAGTTTAAAATCAGGAGCTAAACATATTTTTTTCCTAACATTGTCATGATATTTTTGAATACCTGTGGTTCTGTTATTTCCCCCTGAGTACCAGTATATTTTTCTTTTGTTTGACATGAAATGTCGCTCCTTTAACTAAGCACCATCTATATTCATTTACAAGTGTTTGCAATAACCAGTGTAATGACATCTGATTCTAATTATTTTAGGATAATTGTTTGGGAATAAAATTGTAAAAGTACACATTAGCTGTTAAAAAGTGTATATCTATGTTTTTTTGTTGACAGGTGACACTTGATGGAACGTATACAAATAATAAACTCCATGCAATAATGAAATGAAAAAAAACAAAAAAAACAGTTGGGTGCTAAACAAATAAGTTACCATTTCCGAATATATGAACTCATCATAGTTTTATTAGGAAATAAACATATGCATCATTCAAGGTTACTGTCGTCAAGTTATTGCTGTGATTCAGGGATTAATAAGAAAAATTTGTGTCAGAAAGAGGTTACATACAGTGTACACCACTGGAAAAATTGGGAAGAATTCTGAGGGTGTGGTCACATCTGTACAAGGTTATCAAAATATTATCCATATCTTAATTCAGCCACATGTTTTCCTTCAATTTATTATCTTACAGAAAGCTTATATCATACAGCCAAGGCCCTCTACTCTGTTCTTGTTTGTCACTCTTGATATTTGTGTAAGAACATGTGCAGAAAGGCCCCTCAAAGAAGTTAACCGATTCCCTCTAGAAAGTAAAAACCTTTGTATAAAATCCACCAAGACTATGCATTCTCTGTTTTCATGAGAGAAATTTTGAATGAGTTGATTTGAGATGACAACTATCATTCATCTATGTTGCACATGCACAAGATGGTCAAATCAAATTCTTGCGGCCATTGATTCTCTGATGGTGTATCTTTGTAAATGTTGGTTTTTACTGGAGATTCTTGCGACCATTGTGTGGTGTACCTCAAGATATCTCGCGGCAGATGTACAGTTTTAACAAATAGTAATGAATGTTTTCTAGAGTCAGCTTCTAGTTCTAATTGTTTTCATGAGTAAGTGTGAAGAGTATATTTATATTGCACTCTAATCATGTAATCAATTTTTCTGCATTATATGTGTACACAATCAATTGTGAATAAAAATTACCTTTCTTTATTTCCTATTTTAGTGTATGTGATTTATATTCTTTATGAAGTCCAGTTTACTCTAAAAACTATAAATCACTTCATTTTCTGGCAAATGACGATGTACTTAGTGCATTGCTCCGAAGAAGGCTCTCTGGTGTGTATAATAAAATGGCTGTAATGCTGTGTAGGAATCAGTTTAACACCTCTTTATTTGTCCAGGTTTTCCATCAATGCAATATGAAAGGGTACAAAACATGCACCACATCTTGCATAAGTAGTTCACCAACAAAGCATTAATTTCTGTTCATAATTGGACATGGCAGCATTTTTTCTTTCATTATTTCCAAGAGCTACGCAAAGAAAAAATTAAGTTCTTAGATTGACTCGTCTTATTTAGATTTAGAGGTTGTTAAACAAACCTGGGGTAGGAGCATACACATGATGAATAGTTCTTATTGACGGACTGAACTTTGTCTTTCCAAAAGTTATGTGGCCTACTCGTTATTAACAGTCCTAATAAAGGAATAATAAAGAAGTTAAGATGCAGAGAAATTCAAATTACTTGCAAGTTTGTTTATTTGGTGCTTTTCAATTTGTTTACACTACTAGAATTACAAGCCATTTTTGAAAAAACTGGGTTTCATTAATTTTTGTTATGAGGAATACTTAAGATATGAACTTATTTTATTCTTTGAAAGTGCAGAATGGATTCTTTTGAGATCAAGCAACAAATTTATTCTAAACATAATAATGGACATTAATTTCTTGTCCCATGGATTGAAGAACATAGCGCCTATTATCATGGTATTGTTGGAATGTGTATAATTTCAGTTTGGATGTCTTATATTCTTACATTTGTATATAGCTCTGAAAATTATCAAAACACTATATCTATATTTTCCTTCATTTTGTATTTATGATATACATGTTAGTTAATCTGAAAATGCTAATCACATTTGTATTTCCAGGCTTTCAGTTGCCCAGGTTGAATTTTGTATAAAATCTGTTTCTATTTTTGAGCAAAGAAAGTGAAAGTTGTTTTGATGAGTAAAGAAAACCAGGTGATGTTTTTTTTGTGATTTTGCATTGTTGTTTTGTGTTCTGTTAGGGACGTCCAGTAGGTTAGTCCTTGGGTGTAAAAGTAGTCCAGGGGACGGGATACCTGTTAAAGCAGGCATGCCTGGTTGTAAGAATACATGCAGCCTATGTTTAGTAAAAGCACTATATTTTTGCTCAGTTTCATAGTATGACCCCTACATTGTACCCCAAACTAATTGAGCATTACTGTATACTGATGTTTGATTGCTTTCTGCTATTTTGGGGGTATGCATAATTGCAAAGAGATTTCATTCTTCTTATATTTTATGCCAAAGTAGACACAAACACAGATACCAGAGGATATGCATATATGCAACATATGAAGAGTTCCCAAATGTTCAATTTACCCGTAGAAGAATTTCCACAAAATTATTCAATATTATTTCTTTGCACAATGTATAAGGAGTTGACTTTCAAAAGTACATGTTTATATACTAGAATCACATCTAATGTATTTTTGTAAAACTGAAAATGGTTGTAATCAAAATGAAAATACAAAAACTATGTTCTTTTAAAGAGCTTTAGTTTGTGTGAGATTACTTTCTTTATAAAATGGTAATTATCATGATATTGAAAACATGTTTAATATTCTATGTTCCTCTGGGAACGAAATGGAAGTAGCTGGTTACATATTATATGGTGCTAGATTCACAGGCCAGTTGACATTTGAGATAGTACAATTGAAATAGTACCCTGTAATAAAGAAGCAACATCTTGATTTTCTCCTTCATTGTCATTCATAATTTTGTAGTCATTAATTTGCTTAATTCCCCAGATCTCTTGGCTACATTATCTTCTTAACAATGTTTTCCAAAATCTTTCATATTCTCATAATTTTATTTGTGGTATTCAGAGCACATCATTACTGATGTCTTTTGACTCTTTTCTAAAAGTGCAGGTTCATTTATTTTTGTGAAAGATATGTTATCTAATGATCTTTTCTTTTCATACTTGTTTCCTAAAAGTCTTGCAGCTTGGTCACTGCTTTTAAAATTCTCTTTTGTTTTTCTTTCCTGCCTAGTCTCTCTCTCTCTCTCTCTCCCCCTCTCTCTCTCTCTCTCTCTCTCTCTCTCCCTCTCTCTCTCCCTCTCTCTCTCTCTCTCTCTCCCTCCCTCTCTTTTTCTCTCCCCCTTCCTCTCTCCCTCTCTCTCTCTCTCCCCCTTCCTCTCCAACTTCATTTGATTTGTATAGACTCTGATAATGTTTCCCAATTAATGAAATAATAGTAATGGATCTTCTTAGAAATGCAGGGGGGGGGGGGGATTGATAAAATACTGGAAAATTATCATGGCTATGATGACTTTAAAACTTCTACTAAACGTCTTTCTTGGTTTCTTGTCTCACTAGCTTATTGCATTCATCATTTCATGCTATTTAATTCACAGGTGTATGGAATATTTCCCTTGATATTGCAATTATGTTTATTAAAAGATGATGTTTTTTGTTGTTTTGTTATGTCCTATGTGCACTTTATACTAACTTCTTAAATACCATGTCCAAGATACCTTGCATGATGCCCCTCTATGCTATGTAAAGTTTATGTTAAATAAAAATTGTTTCCAGTGGGTTAAAGTGCTATATGTATCAAGTAACAGAAGCATAATCCTGATTGGCTGATGTTTGGAAGCTTTTCATTGCTTATTACTTTCTATCATATGATTTGAATAGCTAGGAGTAGGACCCAATTGAAAATGACAGCGGATTTGCTTTTATTTTATATACAGGCAAAAATAGGATACTTGTTATTGATGTTAAAATGATAATGTTTCCCCCTCATATATGACAGAGATACATGTAATTGTATTTTGATAAAAATTGCTGAAATACTTGTCAGGCCTATGACTCTGTTGAAAACCTGTATGCAGGATATGTGCTTTTATAGAAATAAGATTAAAGTGAGAGGAAATATCTTTTACATAAATGCGATGTGTGTTTAATGATACAACTTGAATAAGGTTATTTGTAATTGAACAAGATGGTAAAAATTAAAGTGAATTTTCTATTGGAGTAGTAAATTAAAGGGAAATGATACCACTTTTTGTTGGCCATTTTGTGTAGTTTATTTTTCTTTTTGTGTATTTTTATATCTCTATTAAAATTTATGCAGTTCGGCAACTGTTATTTTGATTCCAGGAATGTGTGTGTGGAGAGAGAGAGAGGGAAAGAGAGAGGGAAAGAGAGAGAGAGAGAGAGAGAGAGAGAAGAGAGAGAGAGAGAGAGAAAATTAGAAGAAAAAAAAAAGGGGGGGGGGGTGATTACATGGAATTTATAGTAATTATTCCATTACAATATGGTATACCTTTGATAGTATCAAGACAATTAACTCTGACTTACTTCTGTAGTTTATTCAATATGAAGAGGCTCGAAAAGTTGAGGAATTAGGTCTCGTGAAAACTTTCATTTAATTTGATATTTTATTTTTATAGGTCTGTTTTTGCACCCCTTTCTATCCTGTTCATTGGCACTGAGCTATTATTGGAATGAAATGTATCAATAGGATTAATTATACTACGATTATACTATTTGTCAAAACAAGCAAAAGAAATAAAAAGGAACGTCTTGATAAACACTATATTCTTAACTTTTTGCTGTTTTTCGGGACTGACCAATCTTAGCTGATTAATATACTTTGGTACCGGTATGTTAAGTAGTCCAATATCTAGTTTATGTTACTTGTGTGATGTGTGAACACTAAATTCGTGTGCTGAACTAGTATTCTATTCTTTTTGTTCCAAACCATAAGGGTAAAAGATGAAGATAGGCGAGTTTCCCGGTGTTTCATTCAGAAATTTTTATTTGACTAGATCTATTGCCCCACACGTTGAGTTTAATGTCGGACTTTTACACCATTAGTTTACTTGTATTTACTTAACCCGGCCCAGGGAGCTCCGCCGTCCGACGCCTTCGACGGCGGAGCTCCCTGCAGTAAGTCTTTACTATCAACAAGGGGTGACCAAAGTTCGCGGAGATTTTGAAAATATTAGAAAATGTTATAGTCTATCCTGATCTAAAAATTTGATGTTGGATCTGCGTGCGCGTGTTGCGACTAAAATAAGTCGTAAACGAGACCCTACTTCGGGCACGTGAGTTGACAGCTGATTTATAAAAAAATGTGATCCATCAAAAAAAAAGGTAATTTCATAATTTGCAAGGCAATATATCATACAATCAGTTGGTATCACTTCTTATTTACAATTTTGAGGATAGACCTGTCTACTCTCAAAATCTAAAGATTTCCAGAATCTTAATATCGGTAATATAATAATTTTTCGGAAGGGAGGCAAATGACTGCAAAATGTGCCAGTCTTTTGTCAATATTTTCATAATTTCACACTCGATTCCAGAGAATATTCTGTTTCTGAGTAATTTTATGTTCTTCTTTCTATTGGTGATATCAGATTTTTGAAATCTTACCACTTTGTTGAGATAGTGAACTTGGGTCATGCGCAAACTATGGTCACACTACCATATAATAGTAGATCGTAGAGCCGAGGGCAAAGGTCAAATAATTGACAAGTCACTGAGTAACAATGATGGGAATAGCAGTCTGCTTACGCTTGCAATTCCTCTGATAGAAATGTTTGCATACCAAACCAACCCCCCCCCCCCCCAAAAAAAAAAAATGAAAACAAAACAACGGTCGACAACAACAACAGCCAACACCAGGAACACCAACAATAAAGCGCACAATCTACATGGACAAGCTATTGAACAATACATTTTTAGTTATTATGAATATGGAAAAAGACAAAGTGTCTGTTCATAATAATCTGAATTAAAGCACACTAGCAACACATAGCTAGTGGTCAATGCTAAATTGCTGCCATGATTAAATCAATATCAACACTGTTTCTGCCTTGTTCTGTTTTTTTTCCAAAGATGTATTCTCCATGATGGATATCTACTTGGTGATTGTTGGTTTCATCCTTCATCTCATCCTGTTTGCCTCCATCTTTGACATCTACTTCACGTCTCCCCTTGTCCATGGTATGACCCCTCACTCCACGCCAGATGAACCTCCAGCCAAGCGTTTGGTTCTCTTCGTAGGTGATGGGCTCAGGGCTGATAAGCTCTATGAGCTCAAGGAGGATGGGACTAGCAGAGCTCCGTATCTCAGGTGCCTCAAAATAGATGATTATAATAATAGTACATTGCTTAGTAAATGCATAATACCAACATGGTCTCTATAGATGCGTGTTAGAATATCACTGTATGAATGTCACAAAAACTTAGATTACACATTCAAGAACAGTTTTGTTTTCAGCTGGGATTTAATTCTAACTGAGTGGTATTCCTTATATTTTGTGGGAGTTCAAAATTAAGATTTTTTTAAAGTTGTTCTACTAAGCTCAATGACACTAATATCCTTCAGATTATAGATCTTGATTCCATCTATCTGTTCATCATTATTTTCATGACATAGCCCATTCCTCACTTGGTAACTACTGCTAGGTAAGGCATGTATTCACATCTCATCAAGAATAAGAGGAAGATAAATAACTCCTTATTGACTTCAAACTTGGTTGGGACAAAACTTGGCCTTTCCAAATCAAAATAAGAAACTTTTAATTACTCTTTGCACTTAAGGAAAGAAATGGTAATAACAAAAGTCATATTTATATACCACTTAATACTACGTTTCTTAGTACTAAAGCGTTCCACGGCCTAGGATTATAACAAAAGAAAAATCAACGTACCTCATTTTTTCTCTCTGTGTACCTCAGTCAATCATTAATTCCATATTAACCAGGATGTTAATCAATAGTTGGACCCACTAGTAATTTGTTACTTGTGTACTGAATACTTGTATATTTTCAGTAATGGAGTATAATCCAAAAATCAATCTAATAGCAAATTTTCCTAATTATGATTGGTTTTTTTCATAGGAGCATCTTAAAGAATCAAGGTACATGGGGTGTCTCTCACACACGTGTCCCAACTGAGTCTCGACCTGGTCACGTTGCTATCATAGCAGGCTTCTATGAAGATGTCAGTGCAGTAACTAAAGGTTAGTTTTCAGTTTGTCCTTTTAAAATAATATCATGTTACTTTCATAAATCACATCCATCAAGATATCTATTACAACCATTTGATGTTTAATAGGTTATGCATCTTCCATCTTAACTGCTGGGCAGGTCTCTGGCCAAATGAAAAATTGCCATGGAATAAATCTTTTAAATTATGTTGTCTCAATAACATGGGTGTTAGTGAAATTTAATCAAACTTTACATAAACTGAACAGCACAAGGTATAAGTATTTGAGAACAGTTTTTAGATTTTTATGTTGAAAATGAAAGGCTTTGAGTTTAGCTATATTCTAGTATATGTCGATGACATTGTTTCAAGCATACTTTGTTGAATTATTTGTGTTTAAGGTATTAGTCACACCGTCAAACCTACTCAATACTGACTCCTAACCCACCAATATTGGCCAGTGAGGCAATGTAAATTTTGTTTGGTCTGTTATTCTTTTATTGCTCTCACTGGTCATTTATTCATAAGTTACTTTGATGCTCCACTTTGGTCTTAATGATTAACAACTTAATGCAAATTGAAAACAAAAATATTGACATTTTTTCAAGTTTCAGATTGATTTTACTATCAGGTTTTTGATCTTACACTAATTAGATGCCCATGACTATATTTGAGGGTGTAATTCCCAAGTTTTTATATGAATTTTTCAGGTTGGCAAGAGAATCCAGTTGAGTTTGATTCTGTCTTCAACCAAAGTAGATTCACCTGGTCATGGGGAAGTCCAGATATACTACCGATGTTTGCTAAAGGTATGTATCTGCCTAGTCAAAATTCATTTTATTTCCCATTAGTAATTTAGAAATTTAACCCTTTTAAATACTTACACACCTTTATTTGTCTCTTTGTCTTTGAGAAAGGAAGCTCATTTACATCTATTCATGAGTTTGGGTTAATTTTGTAGAATTGGCTTGATCAGATTATCCTGTTTTAGTTGTATCAGATTAAATTGTCAAGTTCAAAGCACAAATGTCTCAGATAGGAGAGTCCTTTTGAACCCTTGCACATTTTTGCCTGACAATCCTATTTTCTCAAGAGACACAGGGATGCCAATTTTCAGGCAATAGCCTGAATTTAGGCCCTGGCCATTCAGACCATAGTTTAGGCTTTTTTTTGTGTTCAAAATAGCTCATTCTAGGCCCTTTGATCAATTCTCAATGGCATCTCTGGAGACATAATATTGCGCTAGTATAAGATCATTGATTTGATTTACTGTAGATATTTGAATAATACAAGAGTAAAATAACAAAAGTCTTTACATGAGTTATTCTGTCTTTGTTTGTCTATCTATCATGTACTTGTGTAGATAAGTATAAGATACATCCTTTAAAAAAAAAAATCAAGTTTGTTGCTTCTAATAAAGTCAAGCTCAAATATGTTTACCTGTATAAAGTTGAAAGGCATTGGACTGGTTATTTATGTATTTATTTATTTGTTGTCATTGACATCTTCACCATTGTATGTGTGAATGTTTTACCTACCGGTACACACCTATGAATAGGAGCATCTGGAGACCATGTATTCATCCATACCTATCCTCCTGAGAGTGAAGATTTTGCTGACTCTGATGCTTCCAAGTTAGATACATGGGTCTTTGATAAAGTTAAGGTAAGTCCAAGTAGAGTCTTTATATTCCTTTGTTTCAAGAATGAGGGGAGGATGGGTGTTGAGCTCTTTCCTCCTTCATGTATATATGTAACGAGCAAGAAATATTGGCTTAAGCTGATATACAGCCAATAAAAGATCAACTTGGTGCTGGTTATGTCAATTTCATTAATTTTTCATACCGTACTTAATAACAAAAAGAGTAATATGTCTATAATATTATAGTGAAATATATCCAGTTTATTCATGGCTGCAGTTGCAGTCATTATTACTAACATTAAAATGTCATTGATACTCCATATTAATCAGATGAATGTAACCTAGTTTAAAAAAATCTCTGATGTTTCTTTCAAACAAATGGTATTTCTAAACGGAGATCTTGATGTTTATGTCCCCAACCTTAAACAGGAATTCCTCTCAGAATCCAAAGAAGATCCTTCACTGAGGTCCAAGCTGAACTCCAATCGTGTTATCCTCTTCCTCCACCTGCTTGGTATTGATACCAATGGCCACGCCCACAAACCATACTCTAAGGAATACCTGGAGAACATCGCTTTGGTGGATGCTGGGATCAAAGAGATCGTAGGTGTGCTAGAGGATGCCTTTGCTCATGATGGGAAGACTGCGTATGTCTTGACTTCAGATCATGGCATGACTGACTGGGGTATGTGCATTGTTTATATTCTACCGTATCTGTAAAGGTGATTCATTTGCACCCCGGGGCAACGTGTCTGACACGATCGGTTGTAGCAACTACCCCGAAGATCAAGATACATTAATCTTGATCTAAGGAGACACGAACGAACGATTTGACTTCCAAAGTGTACCATTGACTGTTTAGACTTGTAGTGATAGGGCCTTGTTGATTTTTCTGTCAGGAACTTGAGGAAGCAAAGGTTGGTTAATTTTGTTATGTGTTTCTTTTGACAATCAGTCCTGTCTGAATCCTCTTTTTTTGTAATCGAATTGGTAGATAATTACAGAAATAATTTTGTAATGGGTTTCTTTTGACAATCACTCCTATCTGAATCCTGATCTCTTGTTATCTCATTGGTAGAGAATGAGACACCTGTGCTGCTCTCTGCTTAGTGAGCTGGTACCTAGAACACTAAACATTATCTTGACTGCTCTACTCATATGATGAGTTACATAGAGTTAATCTTTTTTAGGAGACACATAAACTGCCCATCAGAAAGCGAGGTTGTATCCAGTATATTCAACATCATTGTTCTTTGCTGTATGCTTTTACCAGGATCTCATGGAGCTAGTCACCCAGATGAGACACTGACACCTCTTCTTGCTTGGGGTGCTGGTGTCAGAGAGGCAAGACACACTACAAATCAGCAATTCCAGGACAATTTCTTACAAGGTATTTGAATTTATGAAACTTTCAACTATTATTTTGTACTTATTTACAGTATTTAAAAAAAAAAAATCAATTTGTGGTCCAGAATCAAAGTTTCGTGTCACATAAAGTGCTTTTGTTGGTCTTGATGTCAGTAGTAAAAAACTTATAATAAATAACAGTTACTATAATTAATAGACAAATTGTAACACTCATTTTTGCACTTGGTCAGATTCCTTTTGTGAAAACATCTATCGTAAACAACTCCCCAAAAGCTTCATATCACAAAGTTTTTTTAGTTTTTCAGTAAACAACTGGGCCAGTGCAGGAATAGTACTTTTGACTGGTATTGATGCCTTTTCAGATCTCTCCTGAATGGTTAAGAATGAATGCAGACAGTCTGTGATGTATGTCATCTTTATGAAACATCAAACATCACATCAGCCATCTTGTTTTGACTAATTAAAATCAGTTGTATTGAATCACTGAAGAGGTTTCTCTGAGATTGATGTAACTTGAAAATTACTTCTTTCTTCACAATCAGAAGATGACCTTTCACTTGCTGTGCTACCAGCTTCTTCAGACCTAAGTCGTAGCTGTTGCTGTTGCTGATACAGTACCACAATATGGATCTAACGTTGAAAAAGAGTATATTGTCCTAAGTCTCTGTTCATGGATGTGTCATGTTTGGTGTATATAGGTACGGCCTCCCTTATCCAACTGGTAGACTTGTTGCTGTCTTGTGAGAGTATACTGCTCTTATTCCAGTTAATGAAGTGATAGATGGTGGCATCAATAGGTTATCATTCAACTAAGTGTGCTTAGAGAACTAAAGTTCAAGCAGTATTGAACGTTAGTGCTTCATTCATATTCTTTATCTTACCTAATTTTTCTTTGATGGGGATTTGTAATTGTACAGACTGGCATCTTGAAGACATAGAACGCCATGATGTAAACCAAGCAGACATAGCCCCCTTGATGTCATCCCTGATAGGTGTACCCTTCCCTCTCAACTCAGTCGGTGTCCTACCCGTAGACTACCTCAATGGTACAGAGGAATACAAGGCCAGGTCACTGCTCACTAACGCTAAACAGATCATAGCACAGTATGAGGTATAGTATCATGCTTCCAATGGACATTGGACATTTCAATATCACTTCATTTTCCTCTAGAGTGAGGTAATGGTGCACATGGTATTTACCTTGTGTATATCTAAGTCATTGCATTTGTTCAGGCAAAGGTAATGATGATGAAATTCTCTTCTTATATCATACGTATCACATCATGAAATAATTTTATGTACTTTGATAATCGCTTGGGAAATTATTCTGGAACGTGAGCTTTAGCTTTAGTATGGTTAAAGGATGGAACTGAGGATCATGGGTTTCATAGCATTTTTTACAATTTCATTGAGAATTAGGTATCAGGTAATGTTATGTTTGCACTGCACTATATTACAGAAAGTAATAATTTCTTTGCAAGGCATTGCTTTCTTTTTGTACATCGATACATGGGCAATTCAGATTCTATATTTTTGTTCTTGATTCAGTTTATTGTAATAAAGATTTATTTTCTGTCTTGATTCAGGTAAAGGAGAATCAGAAGTTTGCTACCACCTTCAGAGCTCTCTTCAGACCCTTCAAGCCTCTCAGCTCAGGTCAAAAAGAGCTTCTACTCAAGCATATTCATATTCACATGGCGAGGAATCGCTTCAAACAAGTAGTAAGTTTGAGGAGTTTAGAAATATTTGATGAATGAGGAATCTGTAGTAACAATCTTGGTTTCTTTTCCACTAAAAATGTTATTTCCATATTAAAGAAATAGTTTACATTTGCATTCAAACTTTAAATATATTTATTTCCTAAACAAGTGGCTTGTGACAAAAGAAAGCGTGCTGATTTTAGCAATATATAATCTGTTACATTGTTTCTGGGAGGCATCAATAAAGTTTGATCCATTCCTAAGGTGAAAGATGCTTAGGAAAAATATATACATGAATTGCCTCTGGATGGATAAGGGCCAAATGTTAAGAAGCACTGAATTCTAGTAGGGCCGCTGTGTTAGGATGTAGTGTCCTACCCTGCACTGTACATCATAGAGTAGGCCACTAAACAGTTGGACTACAACTTGATGTCCAGCCATAAAATCTTATCTCATCCATGTGACACAGTTTTACATCTCACTGAGTTTCGCCAAGTTATCTGGACTGTATTGATATTAACCTTTTACTTGCCTGGATCAAACCTCCAGATTGCTGTATTGTTTGGGTTTGTGTGAAAAACTTTGACTGTGGCTCTGCGCTGTTTGTTCCATCAGTGGGCAGCTAAATAAAATAGTCCTTTCATTTCCACTACAGATAGCTGAGACTGAGAAGCTGATATCGTTGGGTCTAGATGGCTTAGGGTACTACCAGACCTATGATCGATTCTTCTTAGGGTAAGGAGGGTGTATCAGGGTGTTCTTTCAGGGTTGGAAGAGATATGAGGATCAGGGGGAATACTGTTGTACTCTTAACTCTTTACATGCTATATTGAAACCATTACCACATTGTTTGGAGTATATGTACTTGTGACAAAATCATCCATAGTAATAATCCATTGTTTGTGCCACTATTCAACAGAAGCTGGTAAAGGGTTAATTTGGGGTCAATGTGCGAATTATAGTTGTAGTCCACTCTGTTCACACAATCCCATTTATAGGAAGAAAACATCGACATGATATTTGCTTTTCTGATGTTTGCGTTTTGTTTCAGATTGTAGTACATGCCCCTACAAGTAGTTTCCACAGAAAAATCTGACATATAATTCTAGGAAGGGAATTCCAATATGAAACATTTTAATTAGAATTTGCTCATCTTCTGTGTTTGCATATAACCCAGGTCTAGTGTGACTCTGAGCTACCTTGGGTGGATGGCATACATTCTTCACATTCTTCTGAAATACCACACCAGCCTAGCCACACCCCCCAAGCCTCGTAACCATGGTAACACACATCCTGGTCTCTTGCCTGCTTTCTGTATGATAGCTGCTCTGATCGCCATCCTGCTCGCGTTACAAACATCTCCTATCAATTATTACATCTATGCTCTAACACCAGTCCCTCTCTGGTATGCAGTCGTCAAAAGGTGAGTTTAGAAAGAGGTAAAACATCTCCTATTAATTACTACATCTGTGCTCTGACACCAGTCCCTCTCTGGTATGCAGTCGTCAAAAGGTGAGTTTTAAAAGAGGTAAAACGTTTTACAGGTTATGAAGTTGTTCAGGTCAAACATGTTTTCAGTTTTTAGTTTCGGTTTTTATTTTTCATTCCCAACAGAACAGTGATTTTGAAAATAAATCAGATATACATTTCAATATTCAATAATGTAACACATTTTACATGGTTTAAAGTTAAAAAATAGAAAGTATACATGAATATCCAGTGTAATAGTTCTTTTTTAAAGTTTCAAAGTTCTCAATAGAAAGCAAATTTAGAGTGAATTTGGAAACGGTAAGCTTATTGCCATGATTTGACATCAAACATATAACATCTTGTTTTAACAACCTTGCAGCTCTGAATAGACAGTGTAGGAACATATGAAGAAAAAAATTATATAAAAATAGTAAAGTTAGAGGATATAGATAGTTGATTAGAATAGATGGCAAAAGGCAGATGATAAACACAGTAACTCATAATGAGGAATGAGCACAGTCTATTTAATTAAAAGCTACAATTATTTAAAAAAGAAAGAAGAAAAATCAAATTTCTTGAGATTATTACCAGATTGTGTATTGGTCTATAGATAAAGCACAAACATGATTGGAATATATTCTTAGAATGATTCTTTAAAAAAACATGTTCTTACAAGATTAAACAAGGGATTCTTACCATATAATTTTATTCTGTTGCTCTTAACACATTCAAACTCATGTATTCCAAGGACTACTCATCACATCGTGCACTCAAATGTTGAAAATTAAATCATGATTGATCATGTCACCCATTTCCATTTTCACCTCTTGAGTAGTCAATGTACAAAACATTCTCCCAGCACTGCCAGGAAACTTTTTAGGAGCTCTTGATGTAGTGACTGAAAACAATTGGACAGAAATGGGTCAAAGTGTTTTCAACCTTTTTTGATTGAATTGAATTTGAAGTTTGTCTGATTGGCGATGTCACAAAGGAGATGCATCTTTCTTCACTTCGGAGATGATTGGATTTATCTGATCAAGTTGTGGTAATTGTAAATTGCTCATTTTGATATTAGAGTCGTTCATTTTCGAGACGTGATGAGAGATAGCGGACATGCATCCTGGATCATCTCTTGTACTTTCATCACTTCATCTGTAATCACCTGACCCCAATAGACTGTCAATCTTTATTGTTACATTTTGGCTGCTATGTTCAGTCAATTATCATCAGGAGCTCATGAACTGGATTCAACTGACAATGTTTGGGGGACTTCAGCTAGGGGTTTAGAGGAAGGGCTAAGAATGTTAGGGTTCTTGATTATTTATTTATTTATTTATTTATTAAAACATCTTTATACAGGATAATATGTTCAGGTATACTGTTTTTCAACATGGTCCTGTTAACATTAAAAAGCAAATCACATGTGAAATATTTAACAACGTTTCAAATAATTTAACTGCATATGTTGACATAAAGTTAAAACAACATAGTAAAATCTCAGAAATGTAAGCATCATTAGAAATAACATGCTATTGTATTATACATTTTAATAAAATACATTAAAAAAAAAATATATACATATATATACAAAAAAGTACAAGAGATATAAATATTTACAAAAATTAGATTAAAAATAAAACTTCTTATAAATCAATTTAAAAGTTTCAATTGTTTGGGCATTTTGTATAAAGTGGGGGATGCCATTCCATCGCTTAGCACCGGAAAATTTAAAGGCTTGTTTAAAAATTGAGAGGTGGACTTCAGGTGGGACTACATTAAGACTATCATTGTTCCTAGTATGATGATTATGTCGTTCACAAAACATTTCGATATCATTACAAAGCTGTGGAGGGGCTAGACCATGTATACATTTGAACATTTGTGTGGCAAGAAAGTAGTCTTTTCTTTCATTAATGTCTTGCCAAGCTAATTTTTTTGAAAGTGTTTTGAAAGAAACATTTAGGTCAAAGTTGCCAGTTATATAACGTGCGGCTCGTTTTTGTAATCTTTGTAGTTTAGTTTTATGTTTATCTGCACTGTTGGCCCAGACAGAAATACCATAATCGATGCAGGGTTGTATTGTAAATTTATAAAGAGTGTTCAGTAAAGAAGAACTAAGAAATTTCCTCAGTTTCCCAAGAGAACGGATCTTGTATCCTATAGATTTGCATAGGTTATTTACATGAATATCCCATTTTAAATTTTCATGAATTTCAACGCCTAAGTATCGTATGGACTTGACCTGCTCAATTTCAATTCCATCAATATATATTTTCAGAATGTCATGGGAACGCGTTTGCAATAATATACTCTTTGTTTTGTCAACATTAATTCTTAGGTGGTTTTGTTTGTACCAATCATTAATAGAATCAATATTTGATTGAAGTCTAGAGGTTATTGTTTGCACATCTTTCCCTATTTCAAATAAAATAATATCATCAGCATATATAGTTAGAACACCAGATTTGATTGATTGTGATATATCATTGATAAAAAGTAAAAATATAATCGGGGCAAGTACTCCTCCTTGTGGTACCCCTACTGACAGTTCCTTTTTTGCAGAAAGTTTACCTTGCGAGAATACAACTTGTTTTCTTTCCTTCAGATAACTTGAAAACCATCTTAGCATGTTTTCAGCAATACCATATTGCTGCATTTTGAAAAGTAGAATATCATGGTCTACACTATCGAAACATTTCGATATATCTAAGAAACATGCCCCAACTTTTTCTTTTTCATTGAATGCATCAAAAAATTCATCGACAACTCTATGCAGACAAGTTGTCGTTGAATGTTTCGGTAGGAAAGCATGTTGTTCAATATTGATAAGATTGTGTTTAAGAAGATAACGTAGCAGTTGTTCCTGAATTTCCTTTTCTATTATTTTAGGGATATGGCTCACAACAGAGATGGGACGGTAGTTTGTTTCTTCATTCCTAGAACCTTTTCCCTTATATATTGGAGTTGTCCTAGCCAATTTCCAGTCTTCTGGTACATCTCCACCTTGTATGCTTGAATTAAATATATCTGTTAAGGATTCATATATATATATGGTGCTGCTATTTGAAGTAACCTTGTATCAAATCCTAGTACATCAGTATTACTATTTTTATCTAAAAGAAGCAAATATTTAAGTATTTTCTCCTTTTTCAGAGACTCTATTTTGAATTCATACATACATGCTGGGTTTTTCCATTTGATAGACTTACTATGAGGAAATGATTGTGAAATATTATTACCAACATTAACAAAGAAATCATTCATTGTATCACTGTCTATACAACAGGATGATGAACTATCATTTTTAGTCATGCCTGTAACCTGCTGCATTTCTTTCCATAATTTCTTACCATTATTACTATATTTCTTAGACACATCATTGAAGTAAGCCTTTTTCTTTTCATTTCTTAATCTGTTAACATAATTCTTACACTTCACATATTTACAATGATCATCATGAGATTTCGTTGAGTCAGCTTTACTCTTCAAATGATCTCGTTTATACATGAGCTGAATAATGTCATTAGTAATCCAAGGGCAATATCGATCTTTTACCCGTACTTCTTTAAAAGGTGCATAATCATCACTTATTTTCAAGAAAGTTTCTTTCCATGATTTCCATGCCAAAGTCAGAGGCAGAGGATTTTCGTTAGACAATTCAAAAATATTATTGGTTTTAATTGCTTCAAGGAATCGGGCTTCGTCGAATTGCTTGAAATCCCGAAACCGCCTCACTTTATGAATTTCTTTTGTATTCTTTAAATCAATGACAGTATGTACGAGATAGTGATCACTCAATGATATATTAAGTACGTCAGTTAAAATGTGTCTTTCAGGTATAGTGCTCAAAATGTGATCAATACAGGTTGCTGATTTTGTGGTAACTCTCGTGGGCTTGGTGACCAATTGGGTTAATAGAAATAAATTCTCCAAGCAATGAACAGGATTATCATGAAGAGTTTCATTCAGTTTATAATCGACATTGAAATCCCCGAGTATAAGTAATTCCATATTTGTGTCATTTGCCTTCTCAAAATTTTCTGTGATCTTCTCAAAATACTCAGTATTTGTATCAGGAGGTCTATAAATACAACAAACAAGTAACTTGTGCATGGCAGTGCATGGCAGTATGAATTCACCCTCTGTTTCAACAGGACAAGAGCCGTGAAGCAATGATAACCAGGGTTAGACGTCAGGGGTCATTGAAGGACCTACAGAAACCTGACAAATATTTTAGCAAGTTAAGACCATCGCACACCCTTCTTCCCACTACTACTACTACCTGATTTTGAAAGAAATTTGAATTTCAGATTAGATATTGGCAGTTAAGTACCGGTATGCAGATCCTATCTAATTGAGGTTCAGATTGGTCTTGGTCCTGCTGGATTGGCTAGAAATGGGTAGACTATCGTGGGAGGGGTGAGAAAACACAACAATTGACAGCTGATTGGCTTTTATCTCTGACTGCAAAATCAGTAACAATGCTCGTAATAACATTCAGGAAGTCAATTGGTGAATCAGGAAAAGTTTACATCTATAAATTCCTAATTGATACCATGAGGTAGTGTTATAAAAGGAAAAATTAATTTTGCCTTTGATTCATGTTTTAATACATCAAGAAAAGAGATGGTCATTTCATATCAAGACACCTTCACAATAATGCTTCGTAAGTAACATTTCAAATTGATGGAAAAAAAAAGAGATTTCATTAAAAAGACATTGCTGTTCATACCTACCTCTCAATCATGGCTTAGATAGAACAGTGTTACTCGTGGTAGATGTACCTTCTGATAAGAGCAGATGACATTTCAATTTGCAGCAAGTGAATTTGCTCCCTATCTTAATTTTTGGAATGCTTCCCAAGTATTAGTCATTATAACGCCCACAGACAAAGCCTTACACATAAAACATCAGATAAAAAGAGGAATCATTAATATCTGGACTTAAGCCCTAACTGATATGTTTTAGTAACCCTTCTTATTTTCTCTATCAACATATCTTACTTTTTATATGTGACTTTTGTTGTCTCTCTCAAATCTCTATTTTCACATTTAGTCATGAGAATGGTATCACTTCAGTTTGGTTCTCAACCTTCTTGATATTCAGTGACGTATCCAGCATTCAGGAGATCTAGGTACTGTCTCATAAAGTGTTGCGAACTTGCGATTGATTTTAATTGATTACAACTTGAACTCAATCGCAACTCCCATCTCTTAAGTTCACAGCTACGATTAATTTTAAGTTGCGACTGATTTTAATCAATCACAACTCTTTATAATACAGGGTCCTGGGTTATACCCCTTTTTCGAGGCCCATGACAAATACGGCCCTCAATTTGTCTCATACTTTAGTGAAATGGCCCGAATATTTCACAATATTCTGAGGCAATGTGCCTACAGATCCCAAAGCGCTCGCGTGCCTCCGCTGTTTATCACATCCACATATGCCACTGATGTTACTTCCGATGACGCATCAACAAGATTCAAGCCAAAATGTTCCATAATTTTGGGGAAATTAATTTCTGTCTCACACAGGAATGGTCAGTTTAAATAGGTTTAGATAAATTGTGTGTTGATTCAAGGAAAGATTGTATGTATCCTGCAGCATGATGTGATAACTAAGATGTTGGTTCCAGGTAGATTTATTGGTCCCATAATGAACATGTGTTGAAGGTTGATTTGTATATCCTGTATTACAAAATTGCTAAATTAAGAGTCGTTTGTGCTTATTTGGTATGGTCAAGCCATTATATTTCTACTTTTAGTTATATAGTTTTAGGTAAGAAAAGGTTTTTGTATTAAAGCTGACAATCTGTTGGACTTATCTGACTTAATAACACAGTATGGACAATTTTTCAAGGCAGTTCATAGATTTTGAGAGGAATGGAGGAGTTTGAAATGAAAAAGAATCTTGTGTTGAGACATCAAAGACCATTGTAAATTTAGGATGGTATGATGTTAATGCAGTCTGCAAAAATTATGGAAAAGTAAAAGCAGTTATCAGTTGCCTAAAACCTAATGATGTTGGCTTGGTGATAATGAAGCTAACACAGACTGACAGTTATCTCATTGAATGTAACACATGTGTTCGGCTTCCGGTGATATTTACCAGGCTTCATCCTCTCTTATCCAGTTCAGTTCATAGCACCGATGATGCACTTTTGATTACTACCGGTTGTTATCGGATACCTACATTATTTCGCACCATATATGGTCATGATATTTCAAGCGCGTTATGTGGACGTGGCATTGACCTTGCATTGTCATGTACTTTACATAGTAGCATTAGCAACCGTCTACACGCAACCAGCAATCTAAATTCAGGCATCATGATGGTGATTAGGGGCGGGGCTCAAGGGGATGTATGTTCTTTAGGTGAACCAGGTACAGGTTAATGTCCGTTAAGCATCTCATTTGAGATGAAAAGCTATTCTACCACCTCACAGTGTCTTCTTATTCATAGAGGTGGTATCACAGTGAATATAGGATAAACATTTCAAGTCTTCAATAGCATATGACTCCATCCCCCAAGCGAGAGAAAGAGAGAGAGAGAGAATTTTATTCTCAATTTGATATTAATATAGATTAGTCATGATAAGTGACGAGTATGATAGCTCTTCAGTAGCTTTGCCAAGAAGCATTAGATATGGAATGAGTTGTATTCATGAGGTTACAAGCTTATTCTTTCGCTGATACAGATTGATAGAAATCAGAAAAACATCCAGTGCTCGTCTCATTTTTGATGAGGAGATGGAAGATGTTACCCAAGAATGTCGTCCATGTTTGATCGGTGGCAGGCTGATGGGTACGCTGTGATGATGTTCAGGCATTTAGCCAACCCATTCCACAAAACCTAACAGGATGTTGGTATCCCAAGTTTGTGAAGATGACATTTAATTAGAATTTTCTGGCAAGCAATCTACCGATGATGCTGTCTATTTGTTGGTCTGTGTATAGATATATTGGTGTGTATATTTGTTTCTCCTTGACCTTTCTCTCTGACTGCCTGTCTGCCTGTCTGTCTCTGTCTTTCTCTATTTTTGTCTCATTTCTCTGTCTCCTTTTGTCTCTTTTGTCTTTCTCTCTGTCTATCCCATGGTCATTTGGACTCACATCCTTTTTGCTGTTACTTTTCATTTTCATCTTGTTTCTTCCTTTTTGTTCCCCCCTTTTTTGTCTTTGCCTCGTTTTGTTTGTCTCTTTCCCCACCCACTCCCAGATACTCTCTTGAACCTGACCCGTACTTGCTTTCCTCTCTCTGTCTCTGTCTCTCTCTGTCTCTCTGTCTCTCTATTTGTCTCTCTCTCTCTCTCTCTCTCCCCCTCTCTCTGTCTCTCTATCTCTGTCTCTCTGTCTGTGTCTCTTTCTGTTTGCCCCTCTCTCTCCCTCTCTGTCTCTGTCTCGCTGTCTCTGTCTCTGTCTATCTCTCTGTGTGTGTGTGTCTCTCTCTCATTTTGTCTCTGTTTATTTGGCCTATATAAAACAAGCTTGTTGTACAATCCATGAATCTCCATAGCGATAACCACAACTGAACCCTTTCTAGGCCTTGAGCCAAACATTGGTCATTGTCTCATTGCATGATTGAATGTCTTATCTGTCTGATTTGGATTGACAGGTGGGAAGTGTTCCATCAGTCGCTCGTCAACATCACCACCAGGCATTCCTTGCAGGAGATAGCAGGATACAGCGTACTGGGTGTGGTCGCCATAGAGACACTGGTGTTGAGTCTCTTCTACCGGGAGGTGATCTCTGTGGGGCTGGTGGGCGTGGCTCTCTGGCCCCTATGCAGTGGAGTTAAACACAGGAATAAGGTGAGTTCTCTTGAGTCACACAGCTCATTGGGATGTAAGACACTGGTGTTGAGTCTCTTCTACCAGGAGGTGATCTCTGTGGGGCTGGTGGGCGTGGCTCTCTGGCCCCTATGCAGTGGAGTTAAACACAGGAATAAGGTGAGTTCTTTTGAGTCACACAGCTCATTGGGATGTAAGACACTGGTGTTGAGTCTCTTCTACCGGGAGGTGATCTCTGTGGGACTGGTGGGTGCTTTCTGGCCCCTATGCAGTGGAGTTACACACAGGAATAAGGTGAGTTCTCTTGAGTCACACAGCTCATTGGGATCTAAGACACTGGTGTTGAGTCTCTTCTACCAGGAGGTGATCTCTGTGGGGCTGGTGGGCGTGGCTTTCTGGCCCCTATGCAGTGGAGTTAAACACGGGAATAAGGTGAGTTCTCTTGAGTCACACAGCTCATTGGGATCTAAGACACTGGTGTTGAGTCTCTTCTACCGGGAGGTGATCTCTGTGGGGCTGGTGGGCGTGGCTTTCTGGCCCCTATGCAGTGGAGTTACACACAGGAATAAGGTGAGTTCTCTTTGAGTCACACAGCTCATTGGGATCTAAGATACGGTGATCTCGGAGAGCAACGTCAGTGACTTCTGATTAGTTTGGAAAGGATATCAGACTTCTTTTTAAAGGACAGTAGCAAGCTCTACATTATAATTCATTACATACAACTTCTAATGGATGTTTTCATGGAGAATATTGATTGATATTCTCAAGGTTCGTGGAAGTAGAAGAATTGGATGTGGTAGATTTTTAAAATCAAGCCTGATCCAAGGATACAACAGACTTGTTTAATGTTTTGATGTCTCATTTGAATTTAAATCTATTTATTTTTCTTTGGAAAATGTTTGGAATGAGTGGAGAAATACAGGAAAGATGGACATGGGCAACTGTGTGAGAATGAGTCATTTGACTACATGCCAGGCTATTGCCTCCATGGACCAACACCCTGGGGTAATTGAGAGTGGCACTTTTGGCCAACATGTACCACCACCAATTTGTCCAATTTTGAGAGGGGTATTCTCCCTCTTACCTCGACCCATCCAGGGTTTTTAACATTTCAACAGAACATCTTGCATCCATGCCATTCTTGTCGCTTAATTCCATTTCTCTCTCTTCTTTCTTCATCTCACTTTCTCCTTCTCTCTCTCTCCTTTCCCCCTTTCTATGTCCATCTCTCTATCTCTTTTCCAATCTCATTTTCAAATCTCTGTTCCCCCTCCCCATTGGCATACCCTCTCCTACGCCCTCTCTCGTGCTTCCTCATGCTATCTCTGCCCATCAGTAGCATGGTAATTGAATAGGGATAGCCTACATCCATCACAGCCGTGATGAGTCTGCTCTTTCATTTTATTTCTGTAATGTTATATATACCTTCTGAGTTGCTATGCCTATGCCAGTGTGATATGATTAGAAAACATTGGCTCTGAGGGGAAGCGGAAAGAGATGAGTGCATTTAATCAACAACCTGCATCCTCCAAAGTGTATACCCGGTACCTATATGTTGTTAGGAGAAGATATATGCATATTGCATAGCATACAGTAATTCTCAGAAAATTCCTTTATTTTTTGAAAGTATCTTTGAATATAGGGATATCAACGTGGTCACAGAATTCTTATTCATATAGAACTATAATAGTCATTCCTGTTTGATAAATGTTTATTGGAGTTCTAATTTGTCTAAATATATTATTTTACGAAGAAAACTTCTATCCAAATTTATACTCAATTACATGCTGCCGGTACTCACTTTGGACAGGCAGATTGACCAGTCTGTACTTTCCCTGTAAGATATGTCCCAGATGGCCTCTTGCACCTGTTGCTCTCATGATCTTTGTCATACCACCAGACAATGGTCAATAAAGATATGTTAACATTGACCTTCACCCACCTGTGACACACAAAGCAATGCCAACATTGTTTGGACTCTAGGCTTTAGTTTGCACAAGCAGATCTGTATTGTATATTCTCTAGACACATGTCCTGAGTAAGTTGAGTTAGGTGACCCTGATACAAAGCGTTTGATTCAAGGTCACAGACTGACCATGACTCGACAAGGTCATCCTTGTCTCCTCAGGCCTTGTCCCCTCAGGCTTTAATCCCATCTGACAAATTAGTTTGAACTTTGTGTGAAATGTCCAAGTTTTGATCACACCTATTCTGAGTGATATACATTGATGGTGTTTGAGATCAAGGTTATTTGGCTGAGAGTATGATACCTCTCTGGCTATTGATAGTGGTAATTGTTTTCATAGTATTATGGTTCATTAGGGAAAGGCTTCCGGTAATTGGGAATAATGATTGTGATATAATTACTGTTCAATGTATGTAGAGAACTATGATTGACTTGAGTGTCATGATGCTGCCTGTATAGGATGCAACCGCAAGCTAGAAGAAAAAAAGGAAGATTTCCGCTAATTAGGGATAATGATTGCGATATAATTACTGTTCAATGTTTCTTACCTTCTCCATAATGACATTGTGAGCAGTGATTTCTTAGAAAGTTGAAATTAGGAGAGAACTATGATTGACTTGAGTGTCATGATGCTTTAAGCCTGAATAGGATGGAAACGCAAGCCAGAAGAGAAAAGGAAGACTTCCGGTAATTAGGGGATAATGACGGTGGTATCACACATATAAGGGAAAGTACCTTTTAGAGGACATTATCCGCAGTGGAATGATCTTGAACCCACATTATGTCATTGGCAGGAAGTAGCTAACTGGAGTGATTTTAACAAACCTGCATTTCTTGGAAAATGATACTATGATTAAATAGCAAAGGGGCATGATTAGATATTTTAGGCTGAAAGTCCTTGTATCTGTTTTGGTTTGTAGACCAATCATATAAATGAAGCATGATAGGGGCTGTTTTGTAGTGGCAGTCACCAGTCGCTCAGATAAATATAATACTGCATAACTCTATCAAGTCCACTCTGAACAATTGATATTAATATCTATTTTAATATAGAAGAGAAAAGCAATTGAAAAAATATATATCTAGGATTGATTTAAAAATGTAAGCAATATAATGTTGAGTTTTTAGACTGGCCTTATTTCAAATTTTCATCCTGATTTCTAGCAAGGTATGAAGAATCAGGATGTTTTGTTTCTTTGCTAAGAAGCTAAGATATATTCAATGGCCTAAACTTTGTTCAAGGCCTTGATGCATCCTGTGGTTAAGTGTCTGTAGAGTACTGCAAAGTTTTCTTTTACCTGATAAAACAACCTTGTATCATTCTTAGTTTTGTGTGTGATGATAAGATTTACAAGATTTACAATTTGTTCCTTCTCTGATTTCTGCACGTTATTTTAGAATATCATTTTATCATTCTATTGATTTTAAGGCAAATGTAAGGACACAAAATCAACAAGTAGATTATTTTTCATGGCTTACATTAATATAAATTTATTGATTAAGATATTAAAAAAATTGTGTAGTATCTAGCCACACAAGTTAAATTTAACAGTCTATTTCAGTAGAAACAACAACAGATCAAAACCATTCATATAAGCAGTCAAATGACTGAATTATTAAGAATGCAATTGACAGTTTACCATTTACATATAAAAGATTACATTTTCAAAAAGCATTATGATTATTACTTTACTGGGTATATAAAAAGTATAAATACATTTATATTTGTTCTTATGCAGATATTGTTTAGTACAATTGGTTGTTACTTTATTTTTGTAAAAAAAAATTAATAATACTGTGGGCTTAACTCAGTATCTTGTTTTTGTTCTTGTTTCATGATATAGATGTACAGTGTTGGATGGTTGATATCGTGCCTTGTTCTAGCCGTCTTTCCAATGTTACCTGTCGTTGGCAGAGACCCAAACATTACTCTTGTGTAAGTACAACAAATTCTCTTTTATCACTTATGAAACCTGTCTGTAATCTGATTGGCTGCAGTGTATTTTGAAAGGGTCATATTTTTGGATGGACATTGCTGGAGAGTGTACTCATGTTCCATAATGTTGAAGAGTCCGAAACCAGAATAAAAGAAGCACATTAATGGCAAGGAGGATGTGTTCTTTGGTTTTGATTGTATTGACCATGGTATAAACACCAAACAGGATAAGGATAAGAATGGTGTCAATTGAGAAGTGAAACTAGTCATATTTAAGTTACAAAGATTGTAACGATGGGACGGTTAAAGTCCATACCATAGTCCATTTTCTACTAATTCAGTTAAACTCGACCCTGGATCTATGATCATGCTTAACAAAAGTAAAACTCAGACCTAAGATGAACATCCTTTGTTAATCCTGATGTAGAATAAAAGCTTTTATTTCAGTGCCGGATGCAGCTGTATTGGAATAGCTGGTCATGTGTATTTTTATCCCCACCCCACCCCCTTGATTCCATGTCAGATTTCTTTGATGCAAGTTAATGAATAGCAGGGTGTTTTTAATGCTAGCATGTAGAAGATGTTTTTTCTCCTCACACGGAAATAAGAAGTTGAGAGGCGAGCAATATTATTGATCAAAGTCCGGCTTTGTGATCAGTCTGTGTGTACCTATTGACAGCTGTCTGTTACACACATATTCATGGCCATCTGTAAGATGGCAGTACAGGAACCTCAGGCAAAATCAAAGCTAGATAATAGCCTTCATGTCTGCATTCCTTCAGATTTTAAAACTAAAATTCACTGGAAAAAAAGAAAAGAAACCAGGAGAGTAATCCTCCAGTAATTGAACATGTGCATATTCAGATTCAGATTTCAGATTCAGATTTTATTTCCGTTTCAAAACAAACAAAATATAAACAGACATAATATAATACAGTCAAATATAATATAAACAAAGTAAATTCAGTATTATGTAGAACAAAATTTAGTTGATAAGAAATATTGGGAAAAAACAGTACTGAACAATAGAAAAAAAATGACCTTGATGAAGTAATTCAAAACGGAGGGGCTTGCTAAAAAAGCAGAGCTTGTATGAGGCAAGCCCCTGACTTAGTTACATGGATACGCTTAAATAATTATGGTCGAAAGCTAATACCAGTAAAACACACTAAAAGGGAATACAAAAAAAAAGAAAAAGTAAAAGTAAAAATAAAAGTAAGATAAATATAGTAACAGAGAGAGAGAGAGAGAAAGGGGAGAGAGCAAGAGAGAAATAGAGAGCGAGAGAAAGGCAGGAAGAAGGAGATGGGGACAGGAGGCAGGTACACCACCAGGTCGTTAGGCTTGTTTAGATTATTCTTAAAAAAGAAACAAAAAAGGAGGAAAGGAGGAATAACAAAAGGAAAGATTTGTTTTATCTTTCCGTAGGTTTAGATTTTTGAGCTTGGCTTGTTGGTGGGGAGTATTGGCTGATTAATGTTTTCCTAAGTTTACGTTTAAAATTGCTAAGACTAGGGGCTTCTTTTATATCGTTGGGAAGAGAATTCCAATAGGCACATCCAGCGAAGACAAATGAATTCTGTGCAAATAATGTTCGTGTTAAGGGTAAGTGATAACAGTTCCGTTGTCTAGTCGGGTAATTGTGTACAGAGGCATTTTTGCAGAACATATCGGAAAAAATTGCGGGGAGGTCGTCTTTACTTAGTTTGAACATAAATTGGCCGAGTTGGAACACATAGATATCTTTCACTTTGAGAATATTATTTTCGAAAAATAAAATATCTGTATGAGATCTGAATTGTGTTTGAAATATTATCCTGAGTGCTTTTTTCTGCAGCAGTAGGATCCTATTTAATTGTGTTTGTATTGCACATCCCCATGCTATAATCCCATAATTAATGTATGGTAATATTAAGGTATGATATAATGTAAGAAGAGTTCGAGAAGGAAGAAAGTATTTGAGTTTATTGATAATACCGATGTTTCGTGAAATGGTTTTGCATATATTATCGATGTGAGTTTTCCATGATAATTTTTCATCAATAAACACTCCCAAGAATTTGGTTGTAGAAACATTAACAAGAGCAGCGTTATCAAAAATAATTTCACCTGGCAAACTATTGATTTTGTTGCTAAATAGCATGTAATTGGTCTTCTGCAGATTAAGTGATAGTTTATTAGCCTTGATCCAGTCAGTTACATTTTTTAGTTCAGAGTTTACAGTTCTAAGTAGTTGGTTCGCATTCTCATGAGAAAAGAAAATGTTGGAGTCATCTGCAAAAAGTATAAATGATAATAAATTTGAAGATTTTTGAATGTCATTAATATAGGTAATAAAAAGAAGGGGGCCGAGTAGGCTACCCTGCGGTACACCACAGGTAATAGGAAGTGTAGAAGAATTACAGTTGTTAACCGATACAAATTGAGTCCTATCTGTAAGGTAACTCCTGAACCACTCCAAGGCCTTCCCTCTAATACCATAGTGAGAAAGTTTGTGAAGAAGAATTTCATGGTTTATAGTGTCGAAGGCCTTGGAGAAGTCCAGGAATATACCTACAGTATGCAAACCTTTATCAATGGAAGTGGTAACTGTTTTCATAAAAGACAAAATTGCATGCGAGGTGCTATGATTTTCACGGAAACCAAATTGGAAGTGTGAGAAAATATTGTATTTTTTAAAAAACGTGGTTGTTCTTGTAAAAACAAGTTTCTCAAGAACTTTAGATAACGAGGTAAGTAAGGATATGGGACGATAGTTAGTAACGAGTTGATTATCACCTTTCTTAAAGAGGGGTATGACCTTGGCGATTTTCATTTGATTAGGTACCCGACCTGTATGAAGTGAAATATTAAAGATATGCACCAAGGGATGAACAACAGCTCTGATAATTTTCTTTAATAAGAAGTTGGGAATACAGTCAAACCCGGCGCTCTTCTTAATCAGAAGATTGTTAACAATGTTTATAATTTCTCGAGTGTTTGTAGGATTAAAAAAGATGGAATTTTGGTTAGGGTTGACAAGAAAATCGTTAAATGATTTGGTACTCTGTGGCACTTGTTGTGCCAGTTTGTTACCCACTTGTGAAAAGTACGAGTTAAAATTTTCAGCGATTGTATCAGCATCATCGGTGATAGTATTATTGGTTTTGATTTTTGTTATTGCTGATCCTTTTTTCTTCTTATTTAATACACCATTAATGATTTTCCATGTATTCTTCATATCATTTTTGTACAAATTGAGTTGTGAAGTATAGTATTCTTTTTTTGAAATACGTAATAAAGTGGTAAGGGTGTTTTTATATAATGTGTACTTAGAGCGAGATTCGTCACTTGGTTTTGTAATATATTTATAATACAAGTTATTCTTGCGGTTGATAGATCTTAAAAGCGATTTTGTAATCCAAGGATGAATTGGGATCTTTTTATAGTTTGATCTCCGGTGGGTGGTGAGGGGAACATGAGTATTTAAAGACGCTGTAAGCTTATTGATAAAGAAGTCGTACGATTCATCAACATCTAATGAATCAAAAACGTTCGACCAGTCTATTAAGTCTAAATCACTGATTAAATTAGTAATATTATCATCAGTTATTTTGCGATATGGAGTAGTGATCGTCGCTTTTTTGACAAGTTTATTTATACACAACTTAGCAAAAACTGGAAAATGATCAGAAATGTCATTTAGGATGATACCGGCTTTGGGAATGGGGTAGGTTATATTGCTAAATATATTATCAATAATAGTAGCTGAATTTTTTGTCACTCTTGTGGGTTTAGTGATAAGTGGTAAGAAAGAATTGGATAAAAAAGTTTCGAGAAACTCTTGCGAAACGTTGTTAATGTTGCAATTCATTAAGTTAATGTTGAAGTCACCCATAATACAGCAATCTTTGTTTTTCAACAGAGGATCTAGCAGAAGGTCATTAAGAGTTCTTAGAAAATTTTGAGTATTTGATTGAGGAGGTCTGTATAAAACGCCTACAATTAAGTTTTTTCCACTTGGGTTGTTAATTTCAACAAAAAGGGATTCTAAAACATCGTTAGATATAGTCATATTAGGTTTAAGAGCATATTCATATAGTTGCGGTATGTAAAGTGCAACACCACCACCGGGTCTAAAAGTTCTGTTATTAACAACCAAATTAAAATCTGTGAGTGAATAGAGGGAACATGGGTTTTCGGAAAACCAAGTTTCTGTTAATCCTATAATTGAAGATTTGGGAAGCTGGTTACTGTCTATGAATAATTTAAGTTTATCAAAATTTTTATTGGCACTTCGAATATTTAGATGGAGAAGAAAAAGGTTTTCCTCACAACTGTTTGATTGAAGAAAAGATTTAAAATTGTGTTCAGTAAAGTAGTGTGAAGTAACGAGTTGCCCACATTCATCATTTGGATCAAAGTTGTAATTAAAATCAGATGTGTTTTTATCCATAGAATTCATTATATATGTATCATAATTGGAGTTGCCTATAAAACTAGCGCCATGTTGCGACGAAAGAGACAGCAAACCATCGTTATCAACCGAGCTGAAAGGGAAGTCAGAAAAATCAGCCATAAGAGGGGGGAGGTAATAAACTAGTGATGCCTAACAAGTGGGTTTCACGATACCATGTTCCTGCTCCTGTGCCCGTAGGAGAAGAGGGGATGAGGAAGATCATACTGTAAAAAAGAAGGGGGGAAAATGAAAATGACAGGAAAGTCGAAAGTGAAAAATAAAAAAAAGAAGAACAAATAGAGAAAACAACAAAAGGAAGACAATTACAAAAACAAAAACAAGACAAACAATGAAAACTGTCTATCTAGTTCGGATTGGAACAAAAAAAAAAAAAAAAAAAAAAAAAAAAAAAAAAAAAAAAAACGCTTAATAGAAAGAAAACGCTTAATAGAAAGAAAACGCTTAATAGAAAGAAAACAAAAACAAAAACATTTGGTATCCGTCCCTCCTGACGCATACAAAAAACGAGTATAGGACATAATTTTGTAAGTAAATGAAATGCATAAAGAAACACCAATATAAAAAACAAAATTGAATTCCTGTTCTGTACTCTGAAAATTCGTGAAATCGATTAACGGGTTGCAACAGAAAAGAAACTTTATAGTTGACGCAGTTTCAGCAGTTTCAGAAATTCAATTTCATGCGATTATGAAGTTATTCAATGGAGAAATTCAGTAAATAAACAGATCAAACTCAAGGTCTTCGTAGACCATAGGCCTAATATTAATACCACGTTCTTGCAGGATTTAGAAGATCGATCTCATAGAATTTAAAATAATAATAATAATAATAATAATAATCAGACCAGAACCAAAACAGTCAAGATAGAACGATAACTATTTTTTACCCAGGTGCGAAAGCAGAATACAGGAAAATTATTAAGCACAAATTTTATATTGTAATTCGCCTGGTAAACATGTATTGCTATTTTGTCAACAAAAAAGAAAAGAAAAACAGTATTCGTCTGTAGTGATATACACCAATAAAAAAGTAGCTCCCTATATCATGTAAAAGGCTGGTCTTTGTCCTAGATAAGACTGAGGTCATATAATAATCAATGAATAGTTCAAAAAAGAAGCGGAAATTGAATGTGAATGGGCATATTAATTACTAGAGAGAAACAAATATAATTACTTATATACCGTCAGTTCAATATTCCATAATATAACTAGTAAAACATAATCGGTATATATAGATTGAGTTGACCACTCTCACAGTGAATTCATAACTTTTCCTTTGAGAATAGTATTAGATAAAGTATACACAGATCAATGTCTATAATAATGTAAAATGGTAATAAGAGGCAAGAATGTGTCCATCCAACCTCGAGCACTGAACTGTTGACATAATATTTTAGATAGCTTAGTTAAGATATTAGCCTACTTTATAGCCAACAATTAACGTTAATGAATGTACACTAGAAAATACTAGAGATTGAAGGAATACATACTCAATACCGTGTAGGGCAAATGTTTACATTGATATTCTAAGAGTGAACAAGTTTTCTTGGAAATCATTAGCAAGGCAGTCAACTGTATAGAAAATAAATAAACAGATTGATATAATTGATAATAAAAGGTAACCCCCGATATACTTCCCGGTTCTGGATAAGACTTAAAACATGCAATGCATGTGCATTCAAATATTGTAATATGATATAAGCTAAAACATTAAGTGATACTTTGCAAGTTATTCAGTGTAGGAATTCAGAAAAATAAACAAAACAAACTCAGGGTCTTCATAGACCATAGGCCTACTACCAAGGATTTAGTAGATCGATCTCATATGATTATCAAAAAACAAAAACAAAAAACAATGAGACCAGAGCCAAAACAGTCAAGGTAGAGCGATAACAGTTTTTTTTTTATCAGTGCGAAAGCGAAATACATGAAAAATTAGTAAGCATGAATTTTAAATGTTAATTCGCCTGGTAAACATGGTAAACCTGAAAGTGATTAAATTATATAAATAACGAAGATGGCAATTGGAGTTGCTGTCTATTCGAGGGAAACTACGAGTGTCATCACTTAGTTAAACTAACCTGATTAGCACAAAAGTAGTAAGATGTAATATTAGTCCTCATCCGTGACCTTGCGGAGAGAAGCATCATGGGCTGGGGTCTCGAAGTTGTAAGCATTGCCCCCACGGAGGCGCCACTTTCCAGCGTAGAATCGCATCCTGGTGCCTTGAGCGTATAGAGCTTGCACTTGTTTAGACCACTTGCGTTTTTCTCCAAGGTCGGCAGTAGTGAGATCATCAACGATGAAAAACTTTTCATTTTTCAGAACATCGCGTGCTGTTTTCATAATTTCGACTTTATCGCGATAAGACAGGACCTTAACGAGAATATGGCGAGATCTTCCAGCAACTATCTTGCCATCGCGGTGTGCCCGTTCGACCTTCGAATGGATTCCAAAGTGGCGTCGCAGCTTGTCTTCCGCTATCGCGATGCAATCCTCGCTTCGTTGAGGTTGAGCTTTGAGGTGGGATGTCAATCCAGGGTTATCGTTAGTAGCTTGGAGATGGGATGTTGATCCAGGGTCACCATCAGACCGGATAGTTGGCTGGAATTCATCGATGCCAACAATACGTATATTGTTTCTCCTTGAGAAGCGTTCACTTTTGTTGGCTGCTAGCTCATTTCTATCGGCATCGTCGCGAAGTTTTGCGATCTCTACTTCCAAAACCTTCACTTTTGTTTCCAGTCGCAGTTGATTATCTTGTAGGTCATCAACCCGTTGACGCTCAAATTCCAAGGAAGCCCCAAGCATTGCTTCAACATCAGCTAGTTTTTTTGCTAGACGATCTACCGCACGATCAATCATTTCCTCAAATCTCTTTGTTGATCTCTCAAAGAACAAATCAAACTTAGATTGTTCGTAGTCATCAGGAGCTTGGAATGTGCACTCGGGCGAAGTGGCGGTGGTAACGGTTGCCAAGGCTACGGCGCTTTTGTCAGGGCTTGTGCTCTTGGGCGTAGTGGCTTTAGAAACAGTTGCCATGGCTACGGCGCCTTTGTCAGGGCTTGTGCTCTTGGGCGAAGTGGCTTTAGAAACAGTTGCCATGCATGCCAGGTGAATACAAAAAACTTTTCTCTTGATTTATTACATAAAGGTACTTGAATTTTCTTGATATGTTTTTATTTTCAATATCATAGACATTAATGCATGCATTAATTGCATTAATGTCCTACAGAAGAATATTTTACACATAAAGCTTGCATATAACCTTTAAGATTGGAGTCAACAACTTTTGTAGCACGCATGTAGCATCATTCATTCCTCCTGACGTTGTACATCAATCTATGGCCTTCGGTGTGGTAGTGAACCTAGATGGTCCTTGTATCCATAATTAATACCTGACTGAAATATTAATGGTGCCAAGCATCTGTTTGAATTTATGTAGCCATTCTTTACCACAAATCTGATTAAGAACCAGTCATATTTCATAGATGTGTATTAGCTTGTGATGTCATTTCTTGGAAATCCTAGGTATGCTGAATTGGGAATTAAATTGAATGGTGATTGATTATGGGATGCTTGATGCTTAGAAGCAGAAATGGCAATATGCTAGTTGCCTCACTGCCATGTTTGGATGTCAGCTATCCGGTGACCTATGGCCTTAAGTTCTGTCCAAGATAATACGAATTAATGGATTAACCAACAGCAATTGCATACCCACATGGTTTTGAACCCTGAACTTTGGGATTTCAAAAGCTACTGCCCCAACAACTACAACTGGACTACTTCCCCCAATTACTCTCTGAACTACCCCCCAATAATTGATTTCCAGGACAATTACTCCCGAACCCCTGCACAACAGTTACCCCTGCAAATGGTGACTAGTAAATAGTTTTCAGGGTTTAGGGGTTAGTTGTTATGGATGTATTAGTCCAGGGTGGTATTTCACAAAGACTAAGATTGACTTTAAGTTGGACTTAACTAAATTGGCAGGCCGTTCATGCCACTGTTTGCTCTCACCATTTACTGGCATTGGTCTCTCAATGGACTTACAAATCATGGTCACAAATCTACAGAATTTACATTTTTTGATAATTCATTATTGAAGGAAAAAATACTATCTAAAGATCATAATTGAGAGACCAATGATGAGAGCAACCAGTGGCATAAAAGGCCTGCCATAGTTAAGTCCAACTTAAAGTTGATCTTAGTCTTTGTGAAACACTCCCCGGGGTACTAGTATAGGGTTATTAGTCTGTCTTAGAATCTATTTCAACAAGTGCCTGAATATCAAGTTTTGTTATACATATGAAGACAAAGTAGGCATTTCTAGACAGTGCTTTGAATTAGATGATACTTAGATGATTAAATGATAAACAGAACCTGTGATCTTGTGTCAGAATGTCATCTGAAAAAATACTTTCTACAATCTTTCAATATTATAAGTGAAAGTATTTGTATAAATTATAACTGTATAAAGCGAAATACAAGGCTTCATTTTTGAAGTGGTAGTGGTTGAGATTTCAAGTTAAAAAGGATGGGTCAAGATCAAAGATAAATATAATTAAGCTTTCTCTTTCCTTTGTGCAAAATGATAGTAAAAGTTAAATTTTGTCAATTGATGATTTAATTTGCAGATCTTTGGGGAATTCTTATATATTATTTTAGACAAGCCTATTGATACCAATCTAGCCTTTGAACAACCTTTCCATAGAACACACATTGTTGAATTCATTGCTTTATCTTGTAGTCATTACACATTATAACAATGGCTGGGTGAAACTTTCAAATGATTTACAAACTAAATCCCTAAATGGCCTGATTTTCCTTCTGGGAAAGATATTTTGTTACAATTTTCAAAAACAACCCTTCAAGAACAGATATATAAGGGTTGGTATACGTCTATTACATATGTGGCCAAAATATTGGCACTGAACTTGTAATCGTGAGGAAGTAATAATTGATTCCAAGTAATGAAGGTTTTTGAGGTCCGCCTTACGGTCTAGACATAATCCATTCTAGGAATATATAATCATGACATATTTTAAAATAATCATATTTGTTTTGGCTCATGAAAAAGTGCATCCACCAGGGTAATAGGTTAAATCCTCACATTTTTACATATTTATGGAGAGTTATGAGATATTTAATTCTGTCATCCTTTTGGATAAGTGCTAGCCCCATTTAATGCACAAGTGTGTTGCTGTTATTGTATTGGATCATTTTATACTAAATACTCTTTTTAATTTACCCATGTAAAATACTTGATTGTTATTGCAGCTTTAATTCTAAACCCCAGTTTGTCACTTTTTCTCCTGTACAGGGTGCTAGCCGGAGTACTCTTAGCAGTGAGTGCCTATATCTTATTCAGACATCTCTTAAAGCTGCAGTCATCCTCGTCCATCAACCCTCTCTTAACATGGCTACAGATTGCCTTACTCCTCATATCAGTCATGGTGGTCTACATTACCTGGATACACATCACCAACAAAGAGGGAGTCCCCCTACCAAACAAGATATTTAGTTGGACGATGCTGCTAGCTGCGTTTGTCCTGCCTTCATTTAGCAGTGTGGTGATTGGTCATCGTTTATTGGGTGTGGCACTCTCCTTGTCAACGGTTTACATGCTGCTCAGTACCTCGTATCCTTTTCATACAAATGAGCGTGAACTATGGTGTGAAAATAAAGGAGAGGTCTGTTTGCATTTATATTCCGTTCAAGCACAGGTAGTTTGAGAATCCCCCAACTAAAAAATAAGAGAATGTACAGTAAGTATGGATAACAGATTTAGAAACTATTTGTATGACTTGCAGTTATTGTAGGACATTGTCAAGCTGAATATTAAAGGTCATTGCACTGTTATGTTTCAAATTATTTAGGATCATGTTTAGAAGAGAGTCAGAAAAGTCAACAAGAATACACACAATTTAAAATGGGAAGACAGAAGAAGGGGAACAGGGAGGAAAAGAACAAAAACTGTGAGGAAAAGAGAGCAAGAATTTAAGATGTCAAAGACGTACAAGGTCAAGAAATAAAAAGAGGGCAAAAAGAAGAGGAAAAGATAATGTTGAATAGTAATGATGCTATAAATGATGATGATGAAGATGTGTAGTGTTATTAAACCAACTGTAGAATGAGGAAGAAGAAGAAATTGTTTTCTTTAACCATCTTGTACAGACACGAAGGTTTATTCTGTTTATGCCTGTGTTATGTCATGTTCTTCTGGATCCTATGTGAGTCTAACCTCAACCAACAACAGACTGATAAGGTGAGATTCTTTTCCATTTGGTATACTTGGTTCCTCTCTGATTTGGATTTGCTCATGTATGTTTCAAGTAATAGTTGGTCTTTATTTATACTCTTGACTACTGAATCTCATTCCTGAAAGCTCTGTACGTATAGGAATTACACAGTTTCTGTCTGAAATAGGTTAAGAGTGAATCCCATATGAGTCTTACCTCAATCCATTACAGCAGACTCATAACATGAGATGGTTCTTCACAATATTCTTGGTTTCCCTGTAACTGCCTTCATAGGTTCCAACGAATAAATCCTTTGTGATTGTAGGAAGTTTTTCTTAAGAGCTGACCACGCCAGATTGTAAAAAACTCTGCTTATCATGGCGCTTTCAATATCTTTCATGAATAGATCACAGTCTCATGTTATGGAACCATTTTTGTCAAAAATTGAACTAATGCAACACATACACATAGGCAGTGCAGCCAGTGTAGACTTGATTTACGTGATTGTAGTGATCTTCCTCATGTTTTGGTGGAATCATTGGAACAACTAGATTGATTAAATTTTTTTTTTTTTTCTCATTAGTCATTATTTAACATTTTCTAGTGAAGTTGTTTCATAGATATCATATATTTGATGAAGAGAAGAGTCGGTGTTGGGATTGATTCTTTAAGATTTTATAGTCTGTCATCATGTCTTGAACTCCAGATTAATCTTTGCGATGGGTTTGTTTCTTAGATCCACCAAGTGTCTTTCAATGAAGAAGCAAACCTTGAGAAAGCTCCACCCAGGAACCTAGCTCTGACGGATCTACGATGCGCCTGGATCTTTGTCTTCTTTATACTTGCTGCTTTCTTTGGAACAGGCAATATTGCCAGTATTAACAGGTGAGAGCTACATTCAAAGTATAGCCCAGTAAGGTCGTCACTTAAATGATTTGCCAGTATCATTCATACTTTTAGTATATTCATTAGTTTTTCATGTAGTTTTCCATTCCTGAAATCCAACCTCAAGTTTTGGTTACATTGCAAAAATAATAATAAATCAAAAGAGTTCATGTATATTGTATATATGCCTTCTCTTGACTGGAAATGATGTCAATATAAACGGATAACAGTTCTGTTCAAACTGTAGCCTTATGAGATGGTCATGTAATACATCTCTGATAATACCTCTCTTTGGAGAGGCAGTATCACTTGCATCAACAAACAAAGGCCTACATTCAAACTTTACTTCCTGTAGATTTGCTAGCTATTCAGTTAATTGTTGTAAAGAATTATTTGGCTTGGACCCAGTAGATAAGATCATGTGCTCGATCTTGAAATTGAAAAAAGTGGGGAACTAGCGGTATTTGAGCCTGCCATCTTTTGGTCTCCAAAGGATACCTGATGGACAGGTACCACCCAGACAACAAATGCCTTCTATGACAGCTACCTTGCAAACAAGTAGCAAACAAACTAGTAGCCTGTTTGGAACGTATTCATTCTTTGACAATCAAAAATGATTATTTGTCCAGGGGAGGGAAATTTATGGGTCAAAAGTTGCTCAGGGTGGCAATTGTCCAAAGTACTTATAACCTCCCTGTACAGATGGTCTCTGAAGCAGGTTTGACTGTATTTCGTAGCCTGATTGCATATTGTTTGTATCATCCTGATCTACAGCTTTGATCCATCAGCAGTCTATTGTTTCCTGACAGTCTTCAATCCATTCATCATGGGCTCATTACTTCTAATGAAGGTAGCTACTTTGTCTAGTAAAATAATTAGGGATGTGATTCTTCTAAAGCTGTTGACATTCTCTATACTCTTAATAAAATATAAACTTTTATGTCTCTGCATTATTTTTCTCTTCTCTCGCCCTTTCTCTTGCTCTCTAGTTTGTCTTTCTTAGATCATCTTTCTATTTACCCTCTTTATCCTCCTCTCTGTCTGTCCATGTCTGTCTGTCTCTCTTTCTTGTTGAATTGTGTGCTTCTATATTTCTATGTCTCGTCATTGTTCTATTATATATACCCACTCAAACTGTGATTGTTGTATGTGCAAAATGGTTTTAGTTTCTATTTTGAATTAAATGTTTTTCACAATTCATAAGAATCCTTGTATACAATAATTCCAGCCTCTATTGCTTCTCATCAGAAGAAACCTTTCAAGCTACATGTAATACAGTTAACGGCACTAGTCACCCAGCTTTGATATGAAATGTCTTACTGTTTTACGGTCACAATTTGTATTCCAAATCAGAAATAAAAAAGGGTAAAGAGCACGAAGTATGATTTTTTTATAAAATCATTAAATATCTTTTGTACTAATAGTTATTTCTAACTACATCCTCCTCAATCAATGTTTTGTATCATACAGAATGTGATCCTGTTTATACTGGTAGCATATATGTGCCTTCCAAACTATACGCATACTACTTGGGCTACCCTCGTCTTCACTCTACTTCTATCCAATATAATGTTACCATGCTATTTTATTTGATCCTCTTCAATCTATGTTTTGTATCCTATAGAATGTGATCCTGTTTCTACTGGTAGCGTGTGCCTTCCAAGCCATACACATCCTACTCAGGCTTCCTACCTCCTCACTGTACCTCGTAGTTCTACTGCTCTCTGATGCGATGGCGTTACATTTCTTCTTCTTGGTGAGGGACTCGGGCAGCTGGTTAGAGATAGGGACAAGGTAAGTTCCACCAATAAACTCAATTACACCATCGGTATGATGTTTTATACATTAGTTTTCATGGTACAGTCCACCTGTCTTAATCACCACCTGCCTATAAAGGCCACCTGTCTATAGCGGTTATCAATTGAGAATCCATGAAGGAGAAACAGGTGTCAAGAGAACCTGTCTAGAACGGCCACCTGTCTACAGTGGTCACTTTACTCTGATTCCTCTTGCTGGCCTTTGATAAGTCCTCTCCATCAGTGCCCTTGAGCCTCAACCAAAGTACCCTAAGGGAACACTTGTCTAGGTGACACTGGTCCAGATAGTTATTTCCTCCATGTTTATGAGTAATTGTTCAGCTGAGGATCTGGAGGGGTAGTTGTCCTAGATCTCTGTTTCCAGGCTTTAAAAAACACCCAGAGGCCACGCACTATCTGTCCATGATGCCCTAATCAAAGTGAAAAAGCTTGAGACAACTTGATCCATGCCTGTTGCAGTCATAATATTTCAGTTTTTGTGCCCCTATGTCTGGACAAAGTGGTGGGACTCGTAATACTGACATTATTTGAGGTCTGTAATATTGTAGTATACTGGAACGTTTGGAATGTGTGTGTCAACTTCAAAAGGAAAAAAATAATAATTTGAATGTCAGGAAATTGATTATTCTTGTTTTTAAAAAAAATTTTTTTATGGGGGTGGGGGTGGATGCAACTTGCATTATTCAATGAAAGTTTGTAGGCTTTGTCTGTTTGTGTGTTCCGGTCTCATTGAAAAATGTTCGTTATATAAACACCGGATATTATTCAGCAAAAAATTGATTTGATTTATGTTGAGCGACATGATACAAAGCAGCATGATGTTCATCAGCTGTTTGATATTGTTACATCATTGTACTACCTGAGGTTCCAGACTCTCAGCTGTTGTGATTATCCCGCCCCCATCATCCGCCCCTCTCATTGTCTCACATTACCTACCTGCTGAATTCAGTCACATTCCATGACATGATAATCCAACCCAGCCAACGCGTCCTCACTTTCTCTATTCTTGGCACCTGATCTGCAAATTGAACTTTACCTATGGGTGAGAGAATATCTTCTTGAAGAACAAGTGGTGCATGTATTCAACCCTGTAATTGTATTCACATGTTCATTGAGGTTATGCAGGTGTAGACCTTTATGAAGCTACAATAAGGAAGATGATTGAAAACATGTCTTGTTTGACAATGCATACGTTAGAAATTCACTTTCTTTGTAATTTTGAGTACCTAATAATAGAGCAGAACCTTACCAGGTACAGCCTTTGATTATCCTCAATTGATAAGTCAACATGAAATTAATAGTTCACACAAGAACTATCAGGGTATCAAATTAATTATTATTTTTTATTAATTGTTCCTATGCTGTATAGAACAATGTATCTCTAATGACGATATAGTAAAACATATCTCTCTTAATTTTTTATATGTTATGCAAGTAAGACAAATATTTGAGAGCATACAAGCAATAATTTATACCTAGTTTGCTTGTTCAGTTCAGTTCAGTTCATTTATTCCATTCATTTCTAAAATGTACAGACAGTTGTACGTGACAAAAAACATACATATTTACAAGTCATGAAATAAAAAGCAATAAATATTATAAGTAGGCCTATTACATTGTAAGAAAATGAATTATGAGAACTTTAAAATAAAGCCAGATTGGCCTTGTGAAAAAAAAGTCCCCATTTGCTAGAGAGTGATTTGGAGGCTTCATAATAATAGTTTCAAATTTGTACAACAAAGGGAAAAGAAACAAGCAATGGATATGAATATATACATGCATAGAATATGAAATACAAAATACCTACATGTAGATGCCAACAGATATAAAGTGCATCCAAGTAATTACCCGATCCCCCCCCCCCCCCCCAAGTTTGCTTGTTGTGTGTTTAAAGGTCATTACAGAGACACACAGACATGAGAATCTCTTTTAGATTCTATAGAGAAAGTAGTGGGATTTTGATTGTGATTTAAACATTGATATTTGAATTTCACTAATCACTTTGTGTGTGAACAGCTCTAATGTTGGCTGTTGCTAGGATAGGATCATTCGATAAACATCATGTTTTCATGCTTCCACATCATGTTTTGTTTATATGCGATGCGTGTGTATAAAACAGATGGAAGCCTGTACTAGCCAATATGCCTTAGGGGTAAGACCTGTTTGGCTCTGGCTCTTAGATGTGTTTTACTACACACCTGTCTCTACCATCAGTATCATTGCCTAAAGGCACTATTGGACTCGGGCAATTTTTACTGTTAAGGAGATTGATGTAGGCATGTTGTTATCTGCGTGTGTGGTACAACGACTTTTCTTGTTAAATCATTGTCTGCTGAACCATCAACTATCAATTGATTAATACTTGTTTATTCTTAAGGGTTTCACCTTGTATATATAACAGAGTTGTTTAGAATGTTTCTAAATTGTGTCAATGTAATTTATGTCGATCTTACTTTTTTTTTTGTCTCTGTCTCTCTTTACCTCTTTCCCAACTATTTATTCTCTTTTTTTTCTCTTTTTTTTCTCTTTCACTTTATTTCCTCTCTCTCGTCCACCTGTTTCCCTTCTTTATGTTCTGTTCTTTATACTCCATCTATCTCACTTCCCTGCATACCCATTCTCTTCTCTCACTGTATCACATCTCTCTACACACTCTCCTCCTCTCCATCACAACCACTTCTCTTTCTCTCTCTCTCTCTACTCCTCTTTCCCTCTCTCTCTCTTTCTCTACCCTCTCTCTCTCTCTCTCTCCCTTCTCTTTCTCTCTCTCTCTCTCTACTCCTCTTTCTCTCTCTCTCTCTTTACCCCCCTCTCTCTCTCTCTCTCTCTCTACCCCCTCTCTCTCTTTCTCTCTCTTTCTCTCCCTCTCTCTCTCTTTCTCTCTCTGTTTTTCTCTTTCTCTTCCTTGTCTATCCTTTTCTATTCTGCCTGCTAGTATCAGTCACTATGTGATAGTGATGTCTATGATCCTCTTCATCATGCTACTCCTCCTCCTAGCCAGACTCATCACTACATTGTCATGGAAACGATCATTCAAGAAACATCATGCCAGGTGAATTCAACACACACCCAATATCTTGGAGGGATATCCTCAATAAGATGTTTCTATGATGCTACAACATTAAAAAGAATGGATGGTTCAAGGTCACCTTGTAAAACAGTTTTCTATGTGGATATCCAGACATATTATGTGGTGACAATTGCTCAGGGCTTCGTTTGTGTTACCGATAACATCAGAGCTGTAGTTAGTATAGTGTTTAAGAATAAGGTTAGGGTTAAAAATGTAGATAGTGTGTCGGGTTCGGGCTGAAGTTCAGAATGTTGTTAATGTCACAAACTGGCTGTGGAGCAACTACTTCAGCCTTTTGTTGCTGTTTGACATCTCAGTATTTAAGGATCCAGACATGATAATCTTGTTACTTTTTGTATTATAATTCAGCCTTTTGTTGCTGTTTGACATCTCAGTATTTAAGGATGTTCTAGTGTGTATGCTCATTCACAAAGTACATTATTTCATTAAAGTTTTAAATTCTAATTAAGAATCATATTGTAGTGATTTAATGATCTAACATACAAGTCCATTTGTGTCATCTAATGTTACCAGTGTATGCTGCTGCAAGTAAGTGATAGACTGGAAAGAAAATGCAATCAGCTGTATTAGAATAACTGAGCCCTGAACTAGTAAAAGTAGTGAAAGTAGTAGTAGTAGTGAGGCTGTAGAGACACATCATTGTTTGGACCTGGCACTCAGGTCAAGTTCACATGATGTATCTATCAGGAAAACATCTATCTTAGGAAACTATCAAATAGTAGTTATAACCTCTCCTGTTAGACTGGAAAAAAAAGAATATCATCTAAGTTATCGTCACGTCTGTTTGTCATTAGTTGTTGATATGGTGGGTCAGTATATATTTTTGTTATGTCTGCAAACAACATTCAGTGAGCTACTTGCCATTTGATTTTAACTTACACTAGCAGTCATTTGTTTTCTTTATCATGAATACTACCATCTCTGAAATGAATGTGCGGGTGATTGCAATACCTTGAGAGACAGAAAGCATGCTGAAACTGCAAACTTGTATGAATGTTATCAGGAGAATACTTGTGTATTTCATGTGGCTGTCTGATGATTATTTAATAAAGTGTATTTATTTATTTATTTACCTTAATTTTGTCAGGAATTTGAATTCATACCAAAGGAATTTTGTGGACTGATGATGCTAAGCTGTAGATGGCTTCAAATGATTCCAGAGAGCTCAAAAGAAATTTAATGTTACAAATAATTCCACTGAAATAAGTCTTTCATCTTTTGTGTAGTAGATACACTGTGGTATGTCTTATAAAAGACTAAATGTGTCTTTTTTGTTGTTGTTGTATTTACAACCACCCACCTGTAAAATCGTATTTGCTATGAACTTGATGCATGTGGCCTTACTTTTTTGTTTACTTTTCTGTCTTCTTGTACTTTTTTAAAAACAATCTTAAAGATTGACATTGTTTTGTAATTAAGATTAAAATGCAATAAGTTAAGCTGATATGGAGCTAATGTTATATTTTATATCATATTTTGAATATTTTTTGTATACATAAGTTGGCGACGAAATATGAATGCCATGTATGTTTGCACGAATTGTAAAGAATATAATAGGCCTCCCAGTAGTGGACTAAATTAAGCAGGTTTTAACTTCAGTCTGCCTTCAAGAATATGGACCTATGAGATTAAGACTTATGAGAATAAATGTGGACGGATGAATGAAATAATTCTTGATTTAGTTCTTTTATCTGTCAGTCAAAATGATATATGTGCCTCTATATTATTGACGTCTCTAAAAGTCGAGGACTTTCAAGGGGCTTCAGTTTCCGTCAAAGAGTTTTTAAAAGCATTTTTATATTAGTATGGCATTTACAGGCAAAATGAACAAGTAAAAAAAAGAACAATGTTGCCTTTAGACTTTTTACACAGGGATGGTTAGGAAAAAATGGATCCAGAATGGCTCTGTGTAATATTTGACATGATAGTCATTAGTGGAGTGTGTCCTCTTGAAATGTCATGTTAAAGTGCTTTTGTTTACAACAAAATAGGATAATATGCCATTTTTGTTTAGCACATATTATATTATGATATAACGTCTCTATGCGCTTCCAAAGGATTATGATAATGCTGTTCTTAGATTTTATTTCTGAAGAGGTGAAAAAAAAGGATATAGTAATGTGTGAAGGCCTGATATTATGGTTGATGTCAAAATAAATCATGTCCAAAAGAAGAAATGTGTGATTAAAATCCTTCAAGATATCTTTGTATGATGAAACAACCACTTTGACCTCAAATGTATATGTTCTAGAAGTCTTTTGCCTGCTGAGTTATGAGGGGACTTGTTGATGTGTGGTGCATATCTTTATAACTTTAGCTTGGTATGTAGTCGTGCATCTGGAGAAAGACGTAAAGAGCGCCATCTTATGTTCACAGCAAGATCAGTTTTATCTCATGTATGACTAAAATCGATTTCTCTCTCTCTCACTCGCTCTCTCTCTCTCTCTCTCTCTCTCTCTCTCTCTCTCTCTCTCTCTCTCTCTCTCTGTGTGTCTCTCTGTGTGTGTGTCTCTCTCTCTCTCTCTTTCTCTGTCTCTGTCTCTCTCTTTCGTTTCAAAAGACTTTGAACAAACACTTCCTGTCTTTAAGTTCAAACAGATAAACAAAGTAGTTCCAATTTCATTGGAGGATCAAGGCAAAATGTTGATAACCGTGAAAGTCCGAAATCCATGAATTCCACGGGAGTGCATCGCATAGTAATTCTAACTTTTTGAAGAGTAAGGTGGGCGATCCGTTCTATAAATGTGGGAACTCAAATGATTTAAACATGTCAGGTTCAGATTTCTGTTTTGATAGGTAAAGTGACTTAAGTCTGCAAACGTATTTCTCTTATCATGTACGCCTTTTCCCTTTATGTTGTTGTTATCATCATTAATGTATAGTTATTCTTTTTTTAATAAATATAGGCATATCTATGCGCGAAAAACCAAAATGGAAGACAAATTCACAAAGAAACAATTCTGACCTTCATGACGACTTTTTAAACATATTTAATAAAGCTTGTCATTCATAGTAAGCCATCTGGATTGTGCAATATTATCATTGTCTCCAAAGGTAGAATTTTTACTTTCTATTTCGAAGGATTTGATACTCTCCATTACTGAGACATTGGTCACTTTGATAATACAACGCGTCCGTCCGTGGAAGGTCAAAGCGCACCGCATTGCTAGACCTCTCCACGAAGCATTCTAGGTCTCGGATTCCACCGACCTCTTTCACTTTCTCTTTCATTTTTTTTTAGAAATATAGAAATGCTGCTTGAATACTACATAAACCTTCCTTCAGCCCGTCACCCAAATAAAAGTCCATTTGGTTGAGTGAACGACTTTGCATACCTGCACCTGTAGTAAGTTAGAATTAGTCGTTAAGTTCCCAGACGAAATGGTACTTGCATTTTAACGAGCTTTGCTGTCTAATTAGTTATTGTCTTAGTAAGACTGTTTTGAGTTTCATATCCACTTGTTAAACCGCATGGGTTTCTCAACTGTTAGATTATCAACGCCACGCTAGACATCCTTGGTTCGTAGGATGATATGGGCGATTGTTGCTGTGACTTACATGGACTAAGAGATTAAAAGGATTTGTTAAGGGAGACAGAGATATTCAGGTTGCATGCAATGTAGGGTGGCATTTTGATCTTCGTGGAGCCGTGAGTGGTTTTGCTTTTTTGATGATTAATTAATACCAGCTCAAAGATGTACGTCTAAAGGCTCCCAAGTGTCGCCATTCATTCCCTCCTACTTCCATTAAATAAGTGAACATGTTCTTGGCTCTCGTACAAGTCAATGAGTAGTACTCGAACACAGGGGTGTTAAAGGGGGAGGGAGGGGGCAAACACGCCCTCTTTTCACAAATCTAGACATCTGTACCATTTATCATTCATTTTCTCATACAAGGGTCAAAACAATAACAAACTTAGTAACATTTACCGCTTAAAACAATTCTCGTTTATCTGTGTAAAGATCATATTGATTAAAACATGGTAAATTAACGCCTACATTGAATACATTAATGAATCCTGAGATCCCGCCCCTTTAGTAGACCTTTAATGGTAACGCCATTCGGTATCCCACAATAGACTCATACGATCGATTGTTCTTGTCTGGCGCTATTAAAGACGATAGTGAAAGGCGGAGTCATACCATCATAACTATTCACGCATTTTGTTACCGAAAAGAATAAGATGATTTCCATGCAGGATAACGTTTTTTGTAGTGCAATTTCTTTACATTTCTTCTGTCAGTTTTGCAGATTTGTTCTTCTTCTCTTGTTAGTGAATTTTGATGAAGAATTCAAGACGTTTAAGTCATTTTAAATCAGAATATACTATACACTATATTGTTATTAATCCTTTCAGCTATGATGATAATAATATAAGTAAAATAGTCATACGAGAAAAATAATATTTCAAAGTTTTCGGATCACTCCTATATTAATGAATTATTGTTGTTCATCTTGAAACTTTCATGGACAAACTTTATTAGCCCAAAGACTTTAACTTTCCTGTTCCGTGAATCATTTTGAATCCAAGGGACCCCTGGTTTATTTTAGCAAGACCCTTTAAAGTGTATGTAATCGACACGCAAGAAATTTGAGAGTAATGAAGATACATGATTGTAGTTGTCATCTTATTGGCTGAAAATGATAATGAAAGTAAAATACAATGTTGTGCTCATGCGCAATTCAAACGACAAAAATTAAGTTCTATGATATTGAAGCTAGATATCGGAGATAGGTCTAGCTTGTAATGATAACTTATACTGCATGCGATCTGAGTGATGGTCAATAATTATTTTGTGGACAGCTTCCTGCTCTATTATTTTTGAGGTTTATAGAGGACGATCTTCATGATCCTGATAAAGCATGACATAAGTTTGGAAGAAAGATGATGAATGGGGGAGGGGGAGGGTACAAATAAACCCATTATATTCTGACAGAAGATGCAGAAGAGATTGAAAGTAGATTTTCATGAAAAATGTGATCATAAACCCGTTAATCTTACACCATCAGGTAAAAGTTCGGTATGAAGATTTTCCCAGTTGCCTTTAAATAACTTTGCCTGAATGCCAGGCCAAATTAATGTAACTACGCTATTATAAATATAGCAACACCACGAGCGACGAACGCCGATACAATCCATGTAGTTGGGGCACATGAAACAGTGATTCATAATGGCCTAATATAATTTTATTCATGGTCAGTTTACATTTTCATTATCAGAGTTGCTTGTCAATATAAACAACGATATAATCAAACCAATTTAAAACAACAAACTACTATAAGAACATATCTACAGGCATTGATTAGTTATCGTTTCTGTCATTATATTGATATATTTTCACATTTTTATTGTCCTGTCGGGATTATTGTAAATACCTGTTTAAATTATCAAGTGCGTTAACAGAACCATAAGACCATCTATATTAATGGACATACTACCAGTATACCCAACAGCCCCATTACATGCACGATGAGTATACCAAGCCAGTGCGTGGATAGATATGTTCTGCGCATGAGCAGATAAATGTCATTTGTTACAAATTGTAAACCAACTGAAATAAAATGCTGAATAAATTTCTCATTAATTTTTAAAACTTATTATAATATAATAATAATATTTAATTTTTATATAGCGCTTAATACAAATGTCTCTAAGTGCTTTACAAAATTACCCCGGTCATTGGATTCAGTGCTTTCCCGCACACACTGTGTGCACAATCTCCACTCCCTGGGGAGCATTCCAGCCGGGCGTTACTTGACGCTCACAAGCTGTTTATTCATTCATTATTTTAAATTATTATTCATTATATTAAGCACCTACATTCCATTATACACAAGTAGAATTATTCCCTTTAGAAGGTGGAAGCAAAAGTTATCCATCCATCACTACGCAAAGTGAGACCTCTCCATGTTTGATAAGATCGGTGGAACTTTGTGGTCATTAATTGTACCATGGGCTAATGACGGTTTCAAGGTAATTAATCTTTGATTTGTAGATAATCCTTTATTACCACCAATCATTACTTGAACGGTCAGTGTCGCTATCTCTCTATTAGCCTCTATCACAGGTGCTCCTTGATGCACTCCCACCTGCCAGTGAGGTTTAGCACCCCTTCAGATCAGAATAGATCTCTTACTTCATCTATCTATTTTTACTTCTTCGATCTATTCTAGATTTCTTTCTCGAGAACTCTGTCGCCATCCCTGAATACCTGGGAATAAAATTCCCAATTCGTTTTCATTCACTTAGCGTTGCTATGTTTGGCAAAGCTCTGGGGTATATTAGATGTCAATGTCAACCTTTGTCACAAAAATACAAGGATAATAGTTTGGTTTCTTCTCTCAGTTAGTGAACATTCGGGTGCTTAATACCAAAATAACTAATGAACTTTTGAAACGTCAAACGACATTTATATTTTGTAGAAAAACAGATTGTTCTTCACAAGACATGTTTACAAATAATCACAAAGAATGACCAAAAGGCCACCACGTGGACCAAGCACGTACAATGTGATATCTGAAGCAACATAGCATTGAATAGGACGATACAGATGCTTTCAGCACTAAGTAAACATCAAGAGGGTAATCGGAAAAATATATCTGAAAGAAAATATTCTTGAAATATGATCGAAGTTTGATATTTTGAATATTCTATAATAATGTTGGGATTATATATTGTGATGCTAAGGGCAGTTTTATTTACCATTGTACCATCTCGTTTATTCAGTTCGAGTTAAATAAGGTCATTACTGTGTCAGACAAATAGGGTTGGTGCCCCAAGAGTAGATCACGAAATTTGTTAAAGTGAATTTTAGTACAGCCCCACTGCGTCATTTAAAAAAAAAAATCATGTTTCCTTGTCTTTCTTCAATTCGGAAATTGATTCTAAAACATGCATTTTGACGTTTTTATTATAATTTCATAAAATGTTATGTATCCATGGAAAATGATTAATTGTAATTGATGTAATTGATGGAAATCGCTGATGCATAATTGATAAGGGCGGTAAAGTTGCGGTTACGGAATTAAAGTTAGGGCATCAGAAGGAAATTGTGTTGATAAATAAATTCAACATGTACGTGTTAGACAAAGAATTCCTTCTGGAGCAAGCATGACAGGTGTCTAGTTATTTTTCCTTTTTGAAATAACTATTACTTTCCGTCTCCTGTCACAAGGCTGGCAATGATCGAGGCAAATATTGTGCGTTTTGTTTGGACATGG